TATATATATATATATATAACATGAATTTCATGAAGGAAAATATCGCTGAAAACATAACCTTACTCAAGACATTCATATTTGTTTCGATAACCACTGAACGCATTGAAATGAAACCGTATTGTGTTACACAGGGAATGTTATGATATTTCGTCAATAACTTTATTAATGTTTAAGAATTTTTGTTTTAATTTTTTTTCGAAGAATTTTCTGTTCCTTACTATTTAATGCTGCTTTGTTTAGATTGATTATCAATATCAGCTCATTCAATTGTAGTTCTAGGAAATAATTTTGTTTTGAGAAACTGGAACATAAGTTTTTACATTTTAAGGAGAAGAATGGTAGGACAAAGTGTTATAGCAATCATGTGATCCAGCTCGAGCAAACAAAAAAAAAAAAAATGCTAAAATAGTATAATGAATGATGCAACTAAGTTTACATATTTACGAATAGTATAAATGAATTATATGCGGGTGTAAATGTTGACTTTACGAACTCCTAAAAGTTTTTTAAAAAAAAGGAATGGAAGTAGACTTATACACTAGTAATAAAGTGGGGCATTCATTTATTGCAAAATATTTATACATTATAAATAATTAGATAGATATAAATAACTCTCTCTATCATATTACTATTACCAATTATCCCTTTCTTAAACTGTTTTTTAAAATATATATTTTATCATATTTTCATATTTTCTCTTGCATCATATTTTCTCTACATAGAAAAGTTTCTTTTTCAAAACAATGCTTAAATTAAATCCAGTAAAAAAAATTATGAATAAGAAAAGTTATGATAATTTATTCAAGAGTATTTCAAAATACAGGACACAATAAAAACTTTTAAAATTTACCATAAAGATAGAAATTTAAAGATTCCGACACATCATCTGGGTTGAATTCACTTACGCTCACAGCAAACTCACTTTTACAATAGGTCAACTTCATCTTCATTTGCTGAGTTTAAGAAATCCTCCTCATCCTTATCCAAACAATTGGAATCCACATTTTTAGGGATTACTCTGCCTTGTGTCTAAGGAGTATTATTTGACTCATGATCTCTATAGGAATAATAATTGTCTTGCCAACAGCGATCAACTTATAGCCCCGAAATACGAGAAAGTTGCTATCTAGTAATTGAAAATAGGGAGTTGACTTATACGACTTATACTCTGAGATATTGGCTAAGTAATTATATTTCAAAAATGTATTTGTTCATTTCTATCTAACTCTATCATAAAACATCACTTGATAATAATAAAATTACAATTATTTAACTAGCATATTACTTAAATTGTTAACTATTTTGTAATAGTTTTTGTTTAATTTAATATTTTTATATTGTTACAGGCAAAACCTATTCCATAACAAGGCCTACTGAACTACCAAAAACATTTTCAATCACACCAACAAGTAATTTCTATTTTTATATTTAACTATGATATTTCTTAATGGCTTTTCATGTTAAGCTAATTTAGCATTGGATATCAATGAAGAGGTATGCAAAATATAATTTACTTTTTTTATGATTTTTCTCAGGTGGTGGTTATTGCATTGATCTTCAATAAAATAACACTGCTGCTATTCTGCCAGCTTTGACCTTTTTACTGGAATTAAACCGAGCATGAGTTCGGTTCAGTAGCAGTAATGTTACTAAACCGATCTGAACTGTACGGTTAATCTTAACCAATTAACCTTAAAAACTTCAAAATTCTTTAAACTCTTGCATCATTTACTGGTTTATAGTAAAAGAATGAGAGAAAAAATTCTACGAAATTCATAAGATTTAATATTGAAAAATAATGTTTAACCTATTCAGCATTGCACCATTTAACCTTAAAAAAGTTCCTTAAACATTTGCATTATTTATTAGGTTTTAGAAAAATAAAGAGAAAATATTCATAATAAAAGTCTACTAAATAAATAGAGTAATGTTATGAAATTTCACTGATACAGTCGGACCTTTATTTAACAAAGTCACTAAATTCAGATAAAAAGTTCCTTATACAGAAAATTCATTAAATAGAAATTCATAATTTTAAATACTTAAACAACACAAAACAGGTTTTAAATTCATTAACACTAGGCATAATTAAAATAGCAATTAATACCTTTTTACCTTGTAAATTATTATCTACTATCGAACTGTTTTAAATGATTTTAGCATTTCATAATAATGAAGGTTTCACAATAATGAAGGTTCTTGATGATTTCTTCATAATTTCTGTCTTCACCCTCCTCACGTTTATTGCAGTTTTGTTTTTATTTTTTACACTGTCCAAAATATCCACTTCAGTTAATGTTTCTGTGGTTTCAGCTTCAGAATCAATAAAAAAAGAAAATCATTAATGAGTACGCCATCATTAATTTTATGGTTCTCTCTTAGCTGTACCCATGTATTTTTTTTAAAGTTCTTCGAAAGGAATATCCTTGTCCTCCGCACTTTCCAAATTTTCCGCGCTGACTAAGAATCCAGCTTTAATAAAACTGTTACAAATCTGTAACATCATAGTTCCATGCTTCAGAAATTTCTGTTATTCTTTCTTATAAATGGATTTTTGACTTAGATTCCTGTTTGAAATGCAAACAAAAAGGGAAAGGGATTTTACCGCTTTCTCTAAAAGTTAAGTGGCTACAAAAATCAATTCAAGGTAATATCCCCCATAAAATACATTATCAAATTTAAAATGTAATGAAATATTTTGGGAAATAGGGAAAGTGGATCTCAAAGAAATGTTCATTAAATGAAAAATTCACTTCGCTATTTGGAAGTTATTTTGTGAAGAAATTTCCAAAATGTCCTTGGTTCCTCGAAAAAAATCACAAATTAAAGAACTTCTCAAAATGGAAGTTCGTTGAATAGGAGTCCGACTGTATGTATTCCATCTAAAACTTTTTAAATATATATTTATGTTGCAGCAATTACTTGGACTCAGACTGTGGACACTACAACAGTTAGTAACATTCATTTGTCTGTACCAGGTAAGGATTTTTAATTTAATTTTAATATATTTTTGAAGAATTAAAGGTCGTTCAAATGTGACCTTGTTATGTAGGATAAAACTGATAACATTTTAAGTGTGATTATTTCTGCTCTTAAGTGAAAATTGGTCTTAGTCTTACTTTCAAATTTGCAAATATCCATGAAATGCTTTATAGTGCTTAAAAAAATTTATTTTTCAGTATGGTGAAATGTATGCGTACATTGTAACATTTCACTCTACCCCTTTCTCTCTATTGTCACATGTCATGCTACATTACATTAACATATACTTGCAGTTCAGAAACAGAGTATGTTACAGATCGTATTTCAAATTTTACAACCAAAACAAAATCTTCTTCTTCTTATTGGCACGACAGCCCAGGATGGGCCTATGCCAAGATATTCTTCCCTTAGCCTAGGTTCTCCAGTTTATTATCTTTAAAACTTGTTGGTCCTTTTCAAGGCAGTCTAAAAATCTTAGGTTTGGCCATCCTCTTTTTCTTGTAACTGTTAGCCTGGCACTGAAAACTTTTTTGTTTGTTCTGCCATCCTCCATTCTTATAATGTGGCATACCCATTTAATCCTTTGAATTTTAATAAATTTAATGACATCAGGTTCTTTATATGCTTTGTAAAGTTCCTTGTTTGATCCTCTAAACCAGGTACCGTTTTTACTTATTCCACCAAAAATGCTTCGCATTATTTTTCTCTCAAATCTGGCTATCATATTTTCATCTCCACGTGTCATTGTCCGGGTCTTACATGCGTATGTAAGCACCGATCGTATAAGACATTTATAGAGTAACATTTTTGTTTTTCTTTTTATTAGACTTGACTTAAGATATTTTCTTAGACCATAACAACACAAAACAAAATCATTGAATCTATTTATCATTGGATACAAAATCAAAGCATTTATTTCTTTTTAAAATTCGAAAATAAAAATGTAAAAGTAAATAATATTAAAATATTTAATCGCTGAATCCAAGTTTTTTCATTTTAATTAAAATGTGTGTTGTCACACTTTACCCAACTCTTTTTCTTTGTCTCAATTTCACAAATTCCTTCCCCATTAAGTGTAAACATACTATATGTACCTGGGGATTTCTCAAAATGAATAAAAAATAGTAGTAAAAATTTTTTAAATTGATCTTATACTGTCTTCTGTAAATAATTTTTACTGAATGAAAAAACTCTACAGTTTTTTTTCTCTTTGAAATGAGAACCATAGTGTTCAGTTTTAACCATAGTTTCAGTTTTCGTTTTTTAGAAGCCCTGAAAGGTGCTTTTCAGATTTTTTAGGAAAGGTTTTTATTGTGCGTTTTTAAAATGTGCTTAATTTTCAATTTTTTTCTTTACCGTATCGTTTTTCTCCACATATTTTGCAAAACCATGGTTTTCTCATTGTTTTCTGCTGCATTTTGCAAGATATTCTCAATTTCAGGCTCCCTTTTCCACCCTCTGAATTTGAACTGAAAAATCTCTCTATCTTTTTTGGTGGCTAATATTATCAAGAAAAGAGTTCTGTGTCAGAAACTAGTTATTTTATTATGATGATGTAAAATCTTGGAAAATTATTTTGCATAATGTAAAGTATATAGTGCTTAAAAATAATTTATGTGCTTTAAAGGGGCTTATTTTTTCTTGAAAGATTTGACTATGCACCTTTGCTTATTTTCTCTACCAATTCACCTGTCACACGCAATTCACACATCTGCTAGTAGTTCATCTTACATGCATATTATAAACATTCGCATGGAGATGTAAGGAAATAGGATATGTAGTGAAAAAGTTCCCCTATAAAGTTTTATTCTAAGATTCACTTCAAAATTGGCTTTCTTTCTATGCAAATAACCATAATGACTGAGTCTGTTTACATAAATATGTTGTAAAGAACCCAATCAAGTGTTTGAGTACTTCATAAATTAATATGCAGTACTTAAGTTTGAGTGCAGGTTAATCAGATCTGAGAAGTAACTAAAATTTTAAGAAAAGTTTTTGATGAATGATGAATTAAAACCCTATCTTGTAAAGCTAGAAGCAATTTTTGATTCAAATTTAATTTTATTTGTTAGAATTATATCCTACCTATCCTAATTTTTTTAGTTAAATAATTGAACTTTTCTAATTCTCAGAAAACTTAAGAATATAATTTTCAATATTATTGACTTCATTTGATGAGTATTATGTTGCTATTAAGTTGAAATTTATTATAAAATTATTTATTTTAAATTGATTAATTTATGATAACAGTTTAATAATATAATTAGTACATTATCAGTAATCAAAAAGGTGTTTAGTTTTTTGATAATCTCTCAGCTTTTATTTTAAACTAGTGGGCTGCGCCCCCTGCTCGCTAACGCTCGCCATCCCCCGAAAATTGCTACGCAATCTTATATGGTTTGCTCCGCAAACCAAGCTCGCTTCGCTCGCTACTAACTTAGGTACATTGCCAGGGTGCGTAGCGTTTGTAAAAAGTACTTAAAGGTGCTTTTTGGGAGATTTCGTTTTTAAAAGCTTTTAAAGGTGCTTTTTTCAGCTGGCGTTTTTAAAAAGTGCTTTTTTTTCACGAATAATTTTTTTTCCTTCAGTGATATTTGGCGGATCCCCTGCATTTCACGAAAAATGGGGTGTTTGCTATGTAATTATTCACACGGACTTCATGTAGTACCCACGTTATGACTTGCGCATGCGCGCACACTCGAAACTGAAACCCGAGTGCTCCAATTCGGAGATCCTTATTAAATGTTTTTCTTTTTAATTTATAATTTTATTCTTGTTTATTTTATTTTACTTCTAAAACTTTTTTGATGTATGGGGTAAGGGTACCTTTGTTCAGAGTCAAGTTGAATTCACTCGGTGAGGTGGGAAAGTACTGATTGTTTCGATTTACGTCCGTTTCTTTTTGAGTTTCTTTTTATGCTAAAACTGTTCATAAAAAGTTTTTGTTTTTCAATATTATCATTGATTCAATATGAATTTTTTGAGTGCTTGAAAATTTTTGTAAAGTGCTTGAAAAGTTTTTAAAAAGTGCTTATTTTTGATTCAAAGATTTGGCTACGCACCCTGATTGCAAATGTACAAAATTCTAAGAATTCAAAACAATCATTCAAATCCATATAGCAACTTTTTTTTCTAAAAAAAAATTACATCTTTTTAGTAAGTATAAATTTAGTAAATTAGTAAGTTAAAATAAATTTGAATTCAAATAAATGACATGTAATTCGTTAAATCTATTAGAAATGTGCTATAGTATAAAATCTTAAGATAAAATTTCTAAAACTGATATCTCTTTAAAAAGGTTAAAATTTCGGCTATAATTAAGTCTATTAAAAATTTAAATAAGTGAATTGCAATGGAAAAACCTGCATAAACAAATAAATTCTAGTAAAACAAATAAATTCGTGATATAAATCAAAAATTGTCAAATAAATTCGTAATACATAAATTCGTGAAAAAAAACGCTTTCGACAAAAAACCAAAATCGAGATCTATCGACAAAGACTTCTTCCTAGCTTATGCTCTCCCTGGTTATTTCAGTTTCCGTTTTTAAGAGCGCTATATGTTGAGCCATCTTAGCTAGATTTGGCATGTGACATTTTTAGCTGTAATAATTGGTCTATTTTCTAGCGTTGCCATTCGGGAAGTTGTAATGAGGCTTTTTTTTATCGCCGTGTAAGAGAAATATATATATAGATGATTTGGCATGTTTGCATAACACATTTTAATTATTTTTTTAGCTAAACATCACGAGCAAATGATAGACACAACAAAAGTGGGCAAACTAATTATAACACCAACAAGTAATATTTTTCATCTTTTTTTTAAGTATGGAAATTTGAAATAAATTAATTCAATGATCAATTCTATTTTTTTTCCTGTTCTTTGTAGCGTACTATGTAACTGAAACAGTTCCTACCCAATCTACTGCACTAATGCACATTCCAGTACCAAGTAAGAAATAGCTTAACATCTTAGAATGCCAACATAAAGTTAATTTTTTTTCTGGTTAATTCTATGTTTGCTTTTTTATTCATTTTCCTTCTAAATTGCATGAAGTATTACTTTGTTTTCATGACACTGTTTCTATGTCTTGTTTCATGAAAATATTATTTTTTTATTTGTATTTCAGGTAAGATGTGGTCACAATATATGATACCAACAGAAGTGGCAACTTTTCATTTTACTCCCGCTAGTACGTAATTATTTTAAAATTTGCTATTTTTTTATTACAATTTCTAATAGTTAAGAGTACTTATTGATTTCTTTTTACGAAAACATTCAGACAAATGTGTTTTCTTCGATCAAAATGTCTTAAGGTAAATAATTTTTGTTGCCTAATTTATGTACATATTTTTTATATGCAGTTGTTTGTGCCGTACAACTGCCTTAATGATGTTCCCACTTTTGTGCCACCACATTGTTTTTGGTCTATTTAATGAAACTAATTAAAATTCACAATTATTTGTTTATAATTTTTGATAGTGTTATTATTAACAGTCACCTGGAAAGTCATGAGAAATTATGGAAAGTCACGAATTTCTATACTGACCAAAATTTGTCATGAAATCTCATGATTTTAATTATTTTTTTTTAAAAAAAAACATGGAAAGTAATGGATTTAGGGTGCCAAAAAATCTAATTTTTAAAATGAAATTACCCCCCCCCCCACCAATTTCATGGTCTTCCGAATATCTGAATTTGTAACAAAAGCCCCACTAACAGTCATATTTGATTAAAATATAAAATGTTTTTATCATATTCTTTAAAAATTATGGTAATCTTTCAAAAATGAAAGTAAAAATATAATTTCTAGAGAGAATTATCTTTTAAACATCTGTGATGTCAGAATTTTCGTTGTTTATTTAATTTTTTACTTTAACAATTTAAAATTCCAGCTGAAGCAAAACAGTCATTGGCGAATTTTTTTTATTCCAAAATGAGAACAGGAAAATCAGGAGTATTTCGTACCATTCTAATAAACAGGAAAAATATCTTTAGAATAAAATTCTGCAGAAAAAGAGAAAAAATAATTTGCTTTTGTATTTTTTTCAGCTATTTTATTGCTTTAACTCTTTCATTGCTCTGTTTTTTAAATTTAAAAATATGGAGATGCAGAGTATAACAGTTTTGGTTATACCTATCATTTCAATTAATGTTATGATAATGCTTTTTTAAATTTATTGTTGTGTTATTTATTTTATTTTTTGGAGAAAATATTAACTTCGCTTAACTAAGACATGAAAAATTCTTGGAATTAGTCATGAAAAGTCATGAATTTGAAAATCTAAAATGTAGCAGATACCCTGTATTGATATTTTTTTTAAAAAAATTCAGATTAATTTATTTTCTTGTATAAAACCATATATTTTCTTGTATGAAAGCATTTGTTGTTTAAAAGCCCTAAAAGGTGCTTTTTTCATGAGCTGTATTTAAAAAGTGCTTAATTTTCCCTTTTCGAAAATGAGATTTTTTTCTTAACCATGTCCACCACGTATTATGCGAAAACATGCTTTTCCCTTTATTCTATTCAATTTTCACAATTCATTCAACCACAATGCATTTGGGCGTACCATCATTCTTTAGCGTATGAAAGTGCCCATCATTTTACATGTTTGTTGAAATACTTGCAGATCTGCATGTGCGTATACTGAGCTGGATTAAGTGGGAATTATTCTTATGTGCAACTCTGCTGCATTTTGCAAGATATTCTCAATTTCAAGCTTCATTAACCACCCTCTGAAATCGAACCGAAAAATCTCTCTACCTCTTTATGATGGCTAATGTAATCAAGAAAAGAGTTCTTTGTCAGAAACTAGTTATTTTATCATGATCATATAAAGTCTTTGACAATTATTTTGCTAATGCATATAGTACTTAAAATATTTTTTTAGTGCTTAAAAAGTACTTGAAAGGTGCTAATTTTTTGTTGAAAGATTTGGCTATGCATCCTGTTAAAGCAAATTTAAATTAGCTAATTTAGCCAGTCTCAATTTTACAGTTCACTATGGCCCTGAATATATTTGCAAGCAAAGAAGTTAGGGCCGGGATAGCCTGGTTTGTAGGGCTCTGGGCCCATGTCCAAGAGTTCAAGGGTTCAATCCCAGACCGGCCAAGGACTCCTTGTGTACTTAATGGTGACTGATGCACGTTAAATCTGTCAAATCACAAAGTCCTCCACGTTCCCATAACAAATCAATAACTATGGGGTACTGGTCTAGGAGTTTCTTTGTCTTTTGGATTGGGTTCAAAGTTACAAAGCTACAGAGTTGAACATTAGTAGTGGTGAACCCAAAATTGGGTCAGCTGTTCAATGACGTATATATATATATAAAAAGAAAACAAAGAAGTTAGTCGCTTATTGACATCAGAGACTAGAGCAAAAAAGAATATTGTTTTTTGTGGAATACGTAAAAAGAAATTTAAATTAATCAATCAAGCCAGACCATTAGTGAAACAAAATTAAAAAGTGGCAGAATGAGATTATAAATATAACTGAGGACTTACTAATAAAAGATATGCAACAAAGCAGTCATTTTTTCTTACCTTAGCCAATTCTTTTCTTCATTTAGAAGATGAAACATTATTTACTTATGATTAATCAGCTCTTGGGCTCCTTAATGATGTTATTGTTTCTTAATTTTTTGTAAACTTTTGTAAAGCGTGTCTTTGAAGATATTTCTTTTTTTTTCCTACTTCATTTCATTAGCTATAATTGAGACTGAGTCTCTTCCTGTGGCTACAACAAAAGTGCTGGTGAGAATTCCTACTGGTGAGCGATAATGTATTTTATCTCATTGTTTCTTTTAATTTTATCTGTTTAAATTTAGAATTTTTAACTTAATAGTATTATAAAATACAGTTGGCATGCGATATAACAACCCCCACCCCAGTCCAAACAAAACAGGCGTAATAACGTTATTTAGTCCTATCGTGTACACACAAAAATAAAGCAAATATTTCCTTATAATTCATAAATACTGAACCTATTTTCAGAAAAACATGCTATACGTTGAAAAGAATTATGAAACTGAAAGAATATTTGACATAAACAGTTTCTTAAGTCAATAATGAGCAAGCATAAATCTATTACATTAAAAGTTTAAAACACATTAAATTTTTTTTAAATGATATCTTTAATATTAGGAGTTTTTAGAAAGTCATTTATGCAGCTTCTTCTACATTCTGAAATTTTCTGTCATGAAAACCAGGACATGACATTGGGACCTCTTTGTTCTGATATCAGATATACATTATAATTTTTAATTATTGTAAACAAAGTGCTTTCCAGGTATTTGAATACTTTAAGCAATTTGGGGTTTTGATTTAATTCTTCTATCCATTTCTTTCAAAATTTCCTATTTCTCTTCTAAGTATATAGCAGTAATCTGTTTAGGATCAGCAGTTTTTGCTAGAAACCATACATCCACTATATGGTAGCTTTTCTTACAGATTTCCACATGGTTTTTAAAATCTTAATATTTTAATATGCTATTGCAACATACTGCAAATTCCGAGTTACACTTTTAAGTTAGTAATCATGTCTAGATTAACGACGATTACGCAATGAATAATCATACGATACGGTAGTTTTTGCTACAGATTTCCGCATGGTTTTTAAAATCTCAATATTTTAATACACCATTGCAACATCATATTACAAATTCCGAGTTACACTTTTAAGTTAGTAATCATGTGTGGATTAACGACGATTCCACTGTAAATTAGCGCAGTTTTGTCAATTGTTTTTCCGGTAGTTATCAAAACGGATTTTCACTTAGTTTCTTAAAATCTCAGCATTTCTATATGATATAATTTCGGTCGAAGTATAATGTTTTACTATTCTAAAAAGTATTCTCATTATATATTATAAATACGATAATTTACAATAAGTTTAAATTTATGATAATTATCAAAAACAATAATATCATGATAATTATCTACATCAAAATCTAACAAGATATTAAGAACAGCTAATATGTTTCTATCCAAAGCATTGTCCTTAATGATAACTGTTAAATACAAAGTTATCAGGATCGCTGATAAATTTTATTAAGGTAACAGAAGTATTTATAAATGTAAATGGAAAAATACTGTAACATATTTTGAAATATTAATAGGAAATAAATTGTGATATTATAATTCTGATACCAGTATAGTGTAAGAAAGTAAGTGCAATATCTGAACAGAGAAATGGAAAGGATCCTATATAATTTACTTTCTTTCATATTCAAGCAATTTAATAGTAAGCAGTGTAATAGGAAATAGTAAGTTTTAACAGTACAATGAAACAGCCCAAGCAGCATTGCTTTAAAAAAAAAAACAAAATTATGCAATGAAATATTATGCATGCAAACAGAATAGCATTGCTTTGAATAATAAGTTAAAACAATGAAACAGACCGAACAGCATTGCTTTAATTAACAGGATTATACAATTAATACAAACGGATCATTGCTCTGCATGCGAACAGAACAGCATTGCCTTGAATAATAAGATAAAACAATGAAACAGACCGAACAGCATTGCTTTAATTAACAGGATTATACAATTAATTCAAACGGATCATTGCTCTGCATGCGAACAGAACAGCATTGCCTTGAATAATAAGATAAAACAATGAAACAGACCAAACAGCATTGCTTTAAATAACAAGATTATACAATGAAACAAACAGATCAGTGCTTTGCATATGAACAGAACAGCATTACTGTGAATAATAAAATAAAACAATGAAAAAGACCAAGCAGCATTACTTTAAATCACAAGATTGTATAATGAAACAGGCAAAACTGCAAGATGTCGAATCTATTTTTCTAATGCCAATTTAAATCTAACTAAAATATATGATTTCTTCAATAGCTTCTACAGTAATAAATCATTACTGGTAATGAATTTTGTTTTCAAAATTAAAGTTTTTATTTCTTAAAATGTCATATTTTCACTTGGATATTGTTTATTTAGTTCCTATCTTTAAATGTTTATGTAATTGGAAAACATCCATTTTTTGAAAAAAAATTTCCAATGTTATATTTATTAAAATTGAACCATTTTAAATAAATTTTTATACGCTCATTCTAGCTCATACCGATTCCTATAGTTTCCATTGAATCCAAAAATATGTTTCAAAAATAAATAAAATAAAAGCAATATATTTTTCTATTAACTAATTTTAACTATAATAGAAACACTAAATTTTTACTAATAATCTGTGTATCATATTTCAAATGATTGATTTTGCTGTTTTATGTTTAGTTTGTTCAGAATAAAAGGTGGTATTAGAAAATTCAATAAAATGTTATACTTTATTCTTTCGCAATTGTATAATTTTTTATTTTTTTATTTATTCATTTTGTTATGAATGTAAAGTTTTATTTTGATAAAATATTGTTTACTTGATAATTATTAACTTTAAAAATCCCTTTCTTTAGTTACTACAAAAGCAGAAACATATCCTGATACTACATTAACGGTATTTTTCCCTGTTAAATGTAAGATTTTTTTTATTGAATGTTCTATTTTCTTCATCTGGAAACACGATAAAATTAATAATGTGTGTGTCATATTATAAATTGTAAAAAAATTTTAATGATTCATGCATAACTAATTACTTTTGTAAAATTAAATGTTTTTGTTCTTGTAATTATCTTTAGTACACTCAGTATCCACTTTAAAGAGGCAGCTTGTGCTTAATGCTTTCGATAATTGATTTCTTTATTTTTGATACCATTTAGTAAAGGCAGCCTGTTCTGAATTCTTTCATTATTTGATTTCTTTATTTTTGATACTTAGTATCAACTTTGTAAAGGCAACTTGTTTTTAATGCTGACCACATAGTCGCAATCAAACAATTGATCAGAAAATTATAGAGAACAAGTTTTTGAGACAATAGTTAGTGCATTTCATTTCAAAGTTACAGTACTGCGAATATCAAGAAGAATTATTTTTTACAATGTCACAGTTTCCAGAAAATGCAACATTCTTTTCTTAACAGCATTGTTAATTTTTGGCATTGTTGGATAACGCTTGTGTTTCAAATGCCCTAATGCGATTCTTTGAAATTTAGTTTTTACATCACAGTATGATCATTGAGTACATATATAATGTCATTACAGATTTGCTACTTTGCGACATTATACCAGTGTTGCCAAAATTTAAGATTAAAAAGTTGCAAATATGAGCTCCAAAAGGTGCAGATTCGAACATTTTGTAGCCCCCAAAAAACATTTTTTACACACACACACACATATATATATACAGTATAAAGTCGCGTATCCGGAATCGGTGGGACTTTCCGAAGTCCGTATATTTGATTTTTCCGTATAATTGACCTCCAAGGTAAACAAAGCTTAAAATGATTTGAGTCTAAGAAGCAGAAAATAAACAAACATTATTTTTCGGGCAATAATGTTTTAGTATTAGAATGATATCTAATCAATCATAAACAAAATATTAGAAAAAAAAATAATTATTGCTATTCTAAAAATAAATATAGAAAATGAAAAAAATTCCCAGTTATTAAAATATGAATCCACCATTTTGAACTAGAACGATTCAAGCAAGAAGGGGAAATTATGGTCATTCAATAAGGTGGGTAGGTGGAGAAGAAAAATTCATTTCCTTCTTACTTGTCATTCAAGTTGAGGGCGGGGTAGTGACAAATTCTTATTTTCTCTCCTATCATTGGCTATCAATCAAGCATAAAGGCGTGGCATGCTAATTGGGTTCTCTTTATTTTTTCTTGTGTGACTAAAGGGGATTCCCCCTCCACTTTAACATTCAAAAAGGTTCCAGGAAATGCCTCTTTTACTAGCCAGCTGCATAGGAAAGAAGGGGGAGGGAGGGGACTCAGTTGTGCTCTTTTGAAAACAAATCTGCCCCTCCCCTTTCCTGCATTCCAGAAGAGGAGCATCATGGTCTTAGTAGATCTTCTGTTCTCTTTTCTGTTGATTNATATATTATTTCATTATAGATCTCTAGAAGCTGAAGAAATGTTTATTTTGATTGTTAAAAAGTGTCCGGGAAATCGACCCTTCCGGAAAAGGGACGTTACACTGTATATATATATTTCTACTAAATTTTAAAGAAAAAAGTTAAATTTCAATGCGTTGCGTTAAAAATTTTGTCAAATTCAATATTTCATTTTAACTCAGATTAAAGGTCGCATGATTTATTTTTCCAGAAGATAAATGATTAATAATGGTTGGAGTTAAAGATTTTTTCTTATCATACTCGCGGTGCATCTTTCCATAGGTATCTTTGCGATTTCACGAGTCTACGATTTGAGACATAGATATGGAAAGATTCTAGACTCCGTGCAGCAAAACAAATCAAGAATCAAAAACTAAAGCGGATGCGTTTTCAAAAACACACAAAAAAAATTTCCTTTTTAAAAAAGATTTAGAAACTGACTTTTCAGAATCATTTTTTAATGGGAAGGGGGGGAAATTTTAAAAATCCAAAATTTCTGTAGGAAAAAAAAGTTGCGCATTTTTAATATTTGTAGCGTTTGAAAAATAATGAGTAGCCCAAATTCTATTTTTAGTAGCGGGGACTTTTAAAAGTAGCCCAATCAGTCAACACTGCATTATACTCAAACACCAATAAAAAAATGATAAATATTTTTTAGCAAAAAGCTCCATCACTTCCAAATATTGTTTCGAATCTCCAAAACATTGTTTATGGAAGAAACAGAATTTGTTTGAAGTTTCGGATTTTACTCTCTCAGGATTGAAGTTAAAAGAGCAAATACAATATTTTGCTCCTTTGATGTTTTTGAATGCTGAGCAAGGAAAAAAAACTATTAAATTTATTCAGAATGTGCCCTATATATACTCAATGTTTATTAATATCAAATGACTAAATGAGTGTTATTTATTTATATTTTAGTATACTAATATTTATTTATAATCATAATGCAGCTAAGAAATATGTCTTGACTTTTGAACCGAAAGAACCTGAATTTATTCATATAACCCCATCAAGTAAGCTCTTTTTTATACTATTAAATTGTTTATTTTTCACTGCATTTAGTTATTTATGAAATATTCTGATTTTAACATGTGTTTGATAAAACTCTATTTCTACATTTTTTCTGAATTCTTTTTACTGTTAAATATTCATCCCTACTTTTCTTACTATAATCACCAAACCATACCATACTTCATTTCTTACTTTGTAGTAGTGCCTTATTTTTTGCTATATTTTGTGTTGAAACGTGATTAAGGCCGCTAACTAGAGCTGTGACTAAGGCATACCAAACATGTTCCTAAATCTGTCCGAAAATTTTCATGTACCCTACTGCTACTCCTGATTATTCTTTTAGGATAGAATTTGTTGTTGTTGTTGTTTCTAATGACACTTTTACAATCCAAACACGCAAGCTTTGCAAATTAAGTCAGGAAGGTTTGCCTTTCATTTGATAAGAGAGCAAAGTAAGGGTGAAAGTATGTCTTGGCTCAGAACCCCACAGGTAGATGGCAGCACCACTAGATCATGGGGTTACTTCCTAAATTTAGATGTAGATTTAAGGGAAAATAAAATTTTCTTTAGATACCTGTACTCGTGGTATTGCTCAGCGGTCGACCACAGAATTACGAGCACGTGTATAGCATGTAGTTAGTGGAGTCAAGAATGGAGTCCAAATTCTCTAACCACTGGGCTACAACGACCCAATATTTGTTTTCATTGTAACTGAGTAGAGCAAATTATTCTCCTTTTTGTTCGTTATTTGCTCTTTTTAAAAGTAGTTTGGTGTATGTATGCTGTGCCAAAAATATCCAGATTTTTACCTTTTTTTTAATAAAATGTATTGACTTTTTTTCCCCTCTACTAGGCATAAAATATCTATCTATATATATATATACAAGTGAACACATACTTTTTGCTGAGTTACTTTTCTGATATCTTTTTATTTGGAATATATTTTTAAGATCAAAATAAATTATGGTTGAAATGTATTAATTATGAAATTAGTTTATTTTCTTAGATGGTATGCATTATTCATCTATATTTTAATCAATGCAAATCTGAAGCAATTACTACTATTTTGTATTTTTTTTCTTTTTATAGCTTTTACTGTAACTGAAACAGTCACTCCAACAACTGTAGAAACTATTTATGCTCCTATGTACAGTAAGTATGGCCCAATATTCTTTAGCAATGTATTAGGTAACAGGACCCCCACTTGTTTGCACTCGCCAACCTCGAATTGTTACGATTATTTTTTTTATTTGCTTCAAAAACAAAGAACCGTTACTTTATGATTTATTTTTGTAACTCAAACTTGAATATCCTTATCTATATAAACTCTGTGTGCGCTAGTAAAATATATTTCACTACATTAAAAAAAAAACAATAATTTATCAAATCTTTATCTATATAAATCCAGTGTGCACCGGTATAATATATTATACTATATACAAAGAAATTCAAATATTCCTTAGCTTTTTTGTATTCTAATTGATATGTTATTGGTATTTTGCCTTGATAATAATTACTTTCTGCTTTCGACTTTAAAAAATGTGCTCCATAGTGAGATATTAGTTTTTTTTTTATCATTTCGCTTTAAGTTTTGTAATAAATGTTCAAATGAAAATCATTTGACCCTTTTGTTTTACAAGTTTTTGAGCTTTTTTCCTTAGATTTCAAGGTTGGCAACTATTAGAAAACTTAAACATTTTGACAGTATATTAGTCCTACTTAATAGGTAGATTTTAGAAAACTGATAGTGCTCTTATTTGTCTGGCTTATATCATTGCTGGAGAAAAATGCATGGTGGTTTGCAAGCTGGAAATGGTTTCTACAGACATGAGTATATCTGAGCTTAAACCCTGATTCGAGAAAAGAAAAACGAACAATTTGAAAAAGGAAAACCGTGAGGGAGGAGATTTATTTTTCTATATTTTGTTGTTTCAAGTTGTAACATAGAGTTTTGTAATGTTTGTGCTATAATTTATTATTTGATCTACTGGAATTTTAAGTTGGAAATTACAGTACTCAAAATTAGAACCCTGGCACCTAAAAGCTTTGTACTTGTTAGGTAGAGTTGCAAGTTTGTTTTTGGAAAATGTATCTAATCCTCTCAAAATCTGGCGAGAAATATTAAAAATTGTGCAGGACCACTTAAACAATATATATGCAGTATTTGCACCAAAAGATATAGACATTGTACAAGTAATAAAAGAATAGCATTTAAAAGATTTGAAAAGGCTTGTTTAACCTACTGACGGTTCTACACGTAAAAATACATATTTTAACCTGCAGTCTTTTCTGCATTGCAAAACCAGTTTTTCTGTGTTACTAGATAGGGAAATAGTGTATAGGAGAGAAACATTCTACCAATTTTGCATATTTTCTAAAAAGCCAGTGGGTTAATGAGTATATAAATATTAAAAATGTTCTATTGTTTTTTTTAAACTGATATATAACATAGAAATTAAATAATTTGTCTTGCATGTAAATTTTCATTGCGTTGTAGATACTTTTCAAAGAAGATATAAAGTGTATCTTATTCTTAGAAGTTAAATTTTTGTAACTAAATCATTAATTCTTTGATATAAACTTTTTTTTTGCTACTCATTATCTAATAAGTGCAATGAAGAGTTAAGAATATCAAAGGAAAAAAAGTTGAAGGTTTTTAGGGAATTAAAACAAGTCGAGAAATCTAAAATGGATCAAAGGAATCAAGTACGGAACAGCAGGAAAACACTATGGACAGGTAGTACAGAGAATGAAAGGACATCCATGCCTTGTTTGAGATTTGAACCCAGAACCTTTCTGATGAAAGGTCTGCTCCCTGATTGCTATGCAGTCCGGTCAGCAGAATGTCAAAAATCATATGGAGAGAAAAAAAATCAAAGAATTTCCTCAAGAGAATCTCCACTTTGACTTAGACCTGGAAATAAAATCAAGAATTATATATAGAGGTAAAATAAAATAAGACTTGAAGAGATTGTGACTTACTAACTGAGAGCAAACAAGCAGCCATTTATGTGAAATAGTGAAAAGTCTTAAAGTAGGTCAGAGCCCTTGATGATTTGCTTTGCAATGTTGATAGAGATGACTTAAAACTAATCCTGAATCACACAAATAAATTTGAAAGAATGACTAGCATAATTATTTATAAAAAAAATAGCGATTAACAATTTTTCTAATAAGATTCTTTCAAAATTTACCTGCATGAAATTCTAATTGTTTAATTTCTTTTTTGTAGGTAAAAGTTTAAGGCAGTTTGTTCAGCAAACCACTGTAAAAGCTAAGATAATTGAACCAACAAGTCAGTATTTATATTTAAATATGGTTACAATTTAAAATAATAGAATGAAGTTAAATGTTAATGATTTTAATAATTTTTTCTAGCTTTTACTGTTACTCATGCTGAAACATTACCAACAACGAGCAAATTTACTTTCACACCAAGTAAGTTTAGCACATATTTATTATTTTATTCTAACTTTAAGTTAAAATTTATACGATACTAAGAAAGTGGAATAGAAAGTGGTATACATTGGCAACCTACTTTTGATTACGAGGATGCAAATTTCTGATGTGTCAGGTATATAAGTAGACCACTGAAAATTTTGAAAAACAAAATATAAAAGTTTTTATAACTTAAAAAAAAATTTATTGTTAAATCTACAATATAAAAGTTTCATAAGGTAAAAATATTTCTCATTGTTATCTCTAGATATGATACATTTGCCTTCCGATAAAGACGCTATGAGGCGTCCCTGCAATAATGCATGCTATGAGCTTATTGAATATTCCTAAACTTGTGGCAAAATGTTATTATAAAATATTTTATAAAATGTGCAATTTTAAATTCTTTGCATAGGGGTAAATACAATTTTTTTGTGGAATGCAGCAAGTACGGATGAAGTAGAATCCGTCACTTAGCCGGTTCCTCCATTAAGCTCTTCAATGGTTCTTATTTCCCTATTTAGTAACAGTTATCTGTTACTACAAATTATACCACTAATTCGATTTGATATTATGACTCAAATGTTGATTATTTTGGAACCATTACATGAAACAGTTCTTTTGAAATAACTGTTATCTATTATACCTCTTTGTTGTTGTGATAACCTCTACTCATTAACCACTTTTTCTTAGAACTAACTACATCTTGTGATAAAGTTACTAGAACTACTACTCGTTCCTATCATTTTACTCCACCAAGTAAGTTTTATGCTTGATTTTTTTCTCTTTTTCTATTTCCTTAAAATTCAGAATATTAGTTAATTTATATGAATGCTAAATAGACAAATCACATTTAGTGAGTTTTCTTTTTAAAAGCTTGTTTTACAACGATCCCTAAATTAGATAATCCTCTAAAATATGCACTTTCGGAAAAGATTTTTTCCTCTCATCCCTATTTTAATGAAATCTAAACAGATTTGACATGCACAGAAATATTTAAAAGATGTATGGAGACCAAAACAAGGGTAAAAATGTATATTTACTCAAAAGCAGCTGAAGTAATACATGTTAATCTTAAGTTTTATCTTTCATAAGTAATCTTTACTGGGTAAGGTAAATACCAATTCTTTATTATGTCTAATAATATTTGCAGTTAAACTTACCATTTTTTCATTGCAACTAGTGTTCAACGAGCAAAATGGGTTACTCTTAATAACTTCTGATCTAATGATCATATTTTTAAATACTAAGACTAATTTTTGATGGTTTAAGAGCATAACCTTAAATATGCTAATTTATTGAAGCATATGTTGTTTTAAGTTACAAAATCGGACACAAAAATGAATTTTACCCCAAATAAAGATAACCTTTTTTATTCCGGATTCGTATTCCTAACCCTAAGTAAATGGGAAGAGGGGTAGCAGCCACCTGGAAGATATGATCCTATTCGGTCACCTGAGAGTGGTCGAAAGTTTGGATCCCATATTGTTAATTTTACTTTTTACATATTTTGCTATAGCTAGAGAACTTCTAAAGCGAGATGCAAACATTTTTACATCCAATTATAAAATTTGATTCCCCAAAGCACGCAAAAATTCATTTTTAGTAATTTTTTTATTTATATTATTTATTTAATAATAGTCGTATATAAATTTCTACATCTATTTAATAATTTAATTTTATATGGCAAAGCAAAATACAAAATCTGAGCATCAAATAGTCTATGAATTATTAAATTTTAAAAAAGCTGTACATTTAAAATTTGATTTCTTGAGGAAGAACTATCTGACCAATTTCGTTCAATTTTTTCTTATTTTACCATATAAAATTACACTCTTAAAAATTATGTAAAAATTTATATACTTTACGGTTCAAATTTTTTCCCGTTCGACTGTAATAAATAATAAAAAATTATAACTATTAAAAATTATTTTGTTCATGGAATTATCCTTGGATAAAAAAATTTTATGATAACAATGCAAAATTTTTTTATTCATTCAGAAATTTCTCAAGATATGGCAAGATAAGCAAAAAAAGTAAAATTAACATTTAGGGGTCCAAACTTTTAATCACTTTTCTGACCATGCTATTAGAATAATATTTTCCAGTTTGTGACTACTCCCCCTTTTTTAAGGGTCAACAATACGAAATCCTTGAAAAAAGGTATGCTTATTCAGAGAAAGCTCATTTTTGTGTCTGATTTTTGTAACTTAAAATATGGGTTTGCTGTAATTAATTAGCATATTTAAGGTTATGCCATCTAACCATAAAAATTGCATGCATGAATTCATTGATCATTAGTTCAAAAGTTATTTTGGGCGATCCATTTTTTCTTTTGCAGACTGTGTGTTTCTTATAAGCAAGATTCTTATCTTAAGATAATTTTGTGTGAGTTGTAGCCTTGGTTTTGAAATCTTAATAAACGTCATAATTGAAACATTGGAATTTATTGTATTAAAGTCCCAAGTTACTCTTTTTAAGGCCTACGTCTTAAATAGTAGAACCTTTAACTTTTTCAAATCATTAGTATAAGTTAATCGATTTGTTCTAAAATAGCATAATATTGAGCTTTTTTTTTGAGATTCAAAAACTGAAAGTTGTATATTAATGGACTAACTTGAGGTAGAAAAGCTTGTCTTTATAGCCAGTCTCACAACTTATATGTTTTTGTATTTGAAAATTATAATGTGTATTCACTTTTAAACTTTCATTAACTTATACTACTTTAAAGAATAATTGTAGTTTGTCTCTTCATAATTTACTCTGTATAATTTTCTTTTTAATTCACGTTAAAAAAATACCCTTTTAACATGTTGCTTAGTCACCTTTATCCATAATTTCAAAAGACTTTTCATTTAGATTTTATTCAGAGTGTGTAGCGTTTTTAAAAAGTGCTTAAAGGTGCTTTTCCAGAATGATATATTTTTTCTTTACCGTGTTGATTTTTGCCATGAATTAAGCAAAAAAGACATTGTCCTATACAATGTTTTCATTCGTTTGACATGTTTGATGAAGTACTTGCGGGTCCGCATTTGCGTATACTGAGCTGGATTCAGTGGGAAGGATTCTTGCTCTCTCCTACGCAACTCTGCTTTATTTTGCAAGATATTCTCAATTTCAGACTTCATTTTTCGCCCCCTGGAATAGAACAGAAAAATCTTGAGTTTTTGCTGACTACAGGGACCCACTGAACATTGTAAAATTTTTTTCTCTTATAGCTGTAGAAATTTTTATTTCTCTTGTTAATTTCATCGTTGGTGATGCACCATCGTCTTTCTCTCTGGCAAGCAAATAAAACCATCAATAGTCAAAAACTTGCCAACCCTGTCTAATTATATTTTTTAAAGTGCTTAAAAATATTTTTTGAGAGCTTGAAAGGTGCTTATTTTTTGTTTAAAAATTTGGCTGTTATTTTTTAGATTTCATTTTTAAAAACTTTTACTTATTTACTCATGTATTTTTACCATAGCAATTGTGAAAGCGGAAAGTGTAAAGGTTCCTGCAACTTTAAAGTTCACTAGAGCCCCAAGTAAGTCAATAAATATATGTTTTAAAAAATTATATGAAATTCTTAGGGTGTTTATTAATGTTTTAAAACAGTACATTTAGCATGGCCAAGACTGGACTTTTTTTCTCTACTTAAATTAAATGTTAATTTTTTTAAAATTTTACTCTAAATTGTGGGAAGGTAAACTATTGAAATTAATATAAAGGTTGCCTCTCCACAAGGAGAACAGGGAAAACCTGGAAAATAAAAATCACCTGGAATTTAAACATCACCTAAAATAACAGGGAAAAATGCAGGAAATTTAGGTTTTTTCTTCACAAACTAGGAAAATACAGGGAATTTTGTTCCTTATTTTCATCTTTTAAAAAATGGTGACCACTCAATGCGTAATCTGAGGAATATTGAAGGAGGATATTCCAACTGTACTAAACTAGTTCATTTACTATTGCATTATTTAAGTATGTTCATCTTTATTAAGTATTGATGTTCAGCAATTAAAACTTTTACAGCTAGCTGAATATAGCTCGTACAAGAGCGCAGTAATTGCGTTTCCTGTCAATTTATTGTGTATAATATGTACGGGAAAAACACATGGAATTTTTTTTTTCTGGATTTGAGTGTCAACCCTAAATATACAATAGAGCACTCCAAACGCAGATTTACCGGATTGTTCAAGGAACGTGTGCTTTTTTTCCACCTTCTCCAAAAAAAATTTTTTTTATGAAAGTGCTCCCTTGTTTTTAGTATGTCAAAAAAGGGATTTTATCACTTGATGACCTTGAAAAAAAACCTCGTGTTCATTCCGACAAGTAAATTTTTAGAGATGAAGAAATAATATTTACTATTCAGGAAACTGATAGTGAGCAATAATGTGAAGGCAGCAAAGCAAATGAAACAATTGAACTGGTATGGGTGAAACAGAAGTATCTAGAGAGCCGAAAAATACAGAAACATTCACTTGCGATGCAATGGCTTCAACAGTTTCAGTCGATACAAGTACAGCAAGTTTCAGTTGATGCCTTTCAGTTACTACATTTAAAAAGTTTAAGGGATATAAGGGAAAAAAGAGTGTTCATGAAACGAGTGTTCGAGAACCGAGTGTTCAAGAATAGAACATGTCGTCTTGACTTTATACTGAACAACTTTTTGCCTCTTCTACTGTTTGAAGTTTTATCTTCATGTGATTTTAAACTTCATCAACTTTTATTCAAACTTTTACTTTTAGCCATTTACACTAAGGACTTTTAGCTTGGTGATTTTATTTTCATCGCTAATTTCTTTAGTATTATCATCATTTAATTCTTGACAAGTACATCGGCGTTTTTAGTTTCCATTGATCTTAAATCATGTTTTTTGTAATTTTTAGCTAATTCACTTTTAACTGATAAACACCGCTATCATTTGGCAAAACTTTACTGTGTTTTTAGTTTAAATATTTAATTTAATAATTTACTTTTAATCTCCGTATACCCCCTCTGGGGTGGGGTATGGTTCTACCTATCTTATGGTGCTTTTAATGTGATAAAACTTGCTATTCTGATCCATCAGTTTGTACCAGATCTAAGCAAGGGATTAATAATGTTGTGCATTGAATCAAATAGTATTTAAATGCTTGTTACTAGTGAAATAACTTGTAATTTTTTCCCTGGTAGCCACAAGAACAGTAAGAGAAACTAAAACACCTTCCACAACTGTAATAGATCACATTCATTTACCAAGTAAGTTTTACTTTAGTTTTTTTTAAAAAAAATTTTAAGGTATTTAACTTTAAGCCTTTTGAGAATTCTATGTAGATTGCTCCACTTTAAGCCAATTTTAGGAATAATATAATAAAGACTTTACCAATGGTGTTTTTAGTGTATGGCGATTGGGATTTTCGCCATGGGTGAATCATCTGAAGAAAGGTCACTGTGATATCACACTGTCCAAATAATAATTAGACTAGTACCAAAAGAACGTCTTTACACCACCGCCACTTCGTGCGAACTCCTCTATCTTTATTTACAACATCTGCAGCTGACAGAGCCATTACAACATGGAGGCATGACAAACATCATAAAATGTTGTAGTGTAAAACATTCAATAAATATACCATTAAGCTATATAATATAAAATATTTAATACGAAGTATAACAGGGGACATTCAATAAAAAAAAATGATGAGCAACCATTTTATACTAACATAGAAAAACAATGTAATATTATACAAATTTATAGCAATATGAAACATTCAATAAAAACATATATGGAGGCATGACAGTCACATTAACAGATTTTTTTTGATAAAAATTATTTAATTAATTCTAACGAAGTAACAGCAAAGAAAAAATGCAAATTTTGTAGGGAAATCTAGCATATTTAATAAAGTGGAAATGTTACTAAGCTAAACTCTATTTAATTGAGTATAAAACAAATTGAAGGAAAATTAAATAATTAAAATAAATAAATTGTAATTTAAATGCGGTGAAACCTCCAGGAAAGACCATCTCTAATTACGACCACTTTTATGAGGCACTGAATTTTTTTCATGTACTTTGGGTTGAAGAAAAGAACTTTAAGAGTGACTCCCAGGAGAACTTTAGGAGTGACTAAAACTTCTCCCAGAGACATTGAAAACATTGGCACCATATGCCGAAAAGGTCAAATAAGGAAAACACCAAAAAATATTAAAACAAAACAAATAAGTAGTTTAAAATGTATTCAAAATATTTGTGTGAGACTCTTACTTAGTGAACTCTTTTTGAGGATACAGCCTCATGCTGCAGTCGGAGTGCACTAAAGATGATGCTAACAATTTACTTTTAGAGTTGAAGGTTAAATTAGAAAAAAAAGTTTCTTTTTTAGAAAAAACAAGCATCTCAAATAAACCAACTTCTTCACGCCTTGTAAAGCTGACTAATTTTTATGATCTAAAATTAAATGCAAACTTAAGAAACATAATTGTTTGTTTATTTAAAATAGCTTTATCATTCATAATTGGTAAATTTGTTTTTACACATAATTATATCAGTTGAGATCATTTTTATTGTCGCTAAATTTGATTCAGCAACCCGTCTTTTCATGATGCCAAAGAAGAGGTATTTTCACACCAAGAAAATTTCACTGATTAAAATTGTTTGCAAAAAATCATGTACCTTTGACAACAATTTTGAAGTCAATTCAGGTAACATCTAAGAACAACCAACCTCTAGTCAGAGAATAAAAATTATTTTGTAAAAAATAAACAGAGAAAGAAAGATTTGATTTAAATCTATTTATTTACATCCATTTCTAATTGTAAAAAGCCTTCAAATAATGCATCTGAAATAGTTTGAATGCAAATTGCAATGTTTGTTTTTGAAATCATGTTTGTTTTGAATTCAATCAATGAAATCTTGAATGTGTAGAAATTCTATATAATATATGCATAATTTTTAGGTATCAACTCAGTTCTAAAAAGAGTGTGGTTAAAAAATATTTCAGTTATTTGTTCAAATTATTATTAAAAGTTATTTTTTCTATTTACTTTTTATCTTTGAAAAACAGAATTTTATATTTAATTAGATTAGAAATTTGTTTCTAACTAGTGTGAATTCAAGTTTTAACTTATGCTATGAACTCTTGTAAAATCTAATATTTTGAATTTAAAAATAGAGGGTTTTATTCAAAAAGTCAACTTATATACAGGGAAATAACATAAAATTCCATAATTATTTTTTTCTATTAGTAATTTAAACTTTTTAAATCTACTGTTATTCTGAAACAAGTTCATTTATGTAATTATAATTTTCTTCATAGCTGATGTATTTTTTCTTACCTTTCCTACTGGAACTACTCACTTTCACACTTATACTCCAAAAGGTAAGTAGTTAGTTTTATCATTGCATTCGGGGAATTATTATTTCTTATTTTATAACTACGTAGATAATTCAAATTTTTAAATTTATTCAGTTTTCTCACTGCACCGTAATTTTTCTTCTTGTGTTATTGATTTATAGACAAATATTTTCTTCATCTTTTCTTACAACGACTATGCTGTTGCAAAGTATGTTCTTGATCTCTTTTCTTACAAAAGCAAGTAAATTTCAAAATTTAGGATAGTTGACTGCTCTGTGTGAAACAGAGTTTCTTCAGTTGTTGTTGTTGTTGTCTTTGGCCATTTTAGCTGATAGGGTGCGATTGTTCTTGTTTTCCAGTGGCGCTATCTATGGCCAAGAATTAAACTTCTGTCACATCCATACGTCACACCCGTTTATATGGCGGACACATTCATAGATCTATTCATTCATCCACAGATCATAATTTTGACCTGAGCCAGAGAACGATCAATCTCCAATTCAGTACCCCCAGAGGTATAATTTGTTATGGGAACATGGAGGACTATGTGGCCCGCCAGATTTAGCGTGCACCAGTCATCACTTACTACACGGAGAGTCTTCCCATGGCTGAATTCCAGTATTCTGCCAACTAAGCTATCAGGGCCCCAGTTTCTCCAGTTAATTTTACTTCTCCTTATAACTTACAATTGTATTCTTCGAATGAAATTTTTTTTAAAAAGGAGCTTTCTTATTTGCATCTGATTTTTTTTAACTTGGTACTCTACTCTATTGTATTTGTAAGTAAGAACAGCAATTTACAAGAATCTATTAGAAGTATATTGGAGATGAGAAGCTCTGTGTACCATTCTGCCATGGTACTTAAAGAATAATAGCTGGTATCTAGTAATTTAGTTTTTTTAAACTGTCTTTTTTCCTATAAAATCTATAATGCAAAAATAGAAGAAATTATATTTAAATAAGATTAATGTGGAACAATTCAATATAGTACTCCATTACAGAGGCACAGAAAATATTCAGAACCTAATATTTCCCTTAGAGATAAGATACAGAAATTATTCTTCACTCTGAATCGGAGCATAAGGCTTCTATCAGCTTTCCATCTCACTTTATTTGTGGCTAGATATTTTACTTCTCTCTATGTCTTTCCTATTGTTTTCAATTCTATTACAATCGCCCTGCGCCCAGGATACATTTTCCCAAAACATAATTTTCTGACATAGTTAAACATCTGGAAATGCCCTGGCACTCCAGAACTTTTCCTGAATCATCTATGCATTTGGTTACTACTTTCCAACTCTTAACCCTTAGAATGTTTAGGTCTTACTCAACACAGTTGATCCATCTTACCGGTGATAACACCGGTAGGAGGGATCAGTATGACCTAACATTCCGCCTAACATATGACCTAAAAGACGTAGGGGTATAAACCCCACCGTCTTTTTCCCATGGACTTTGAAAAACGACTTACTTACAGTAATCGATCTTCATACATTCTTACCAGATGGCCAGCCTGTTTAATTTGTTAGATATTGTTGAATTCCTTAAACTTTCATAAATACCAAAGATGGTTTTCTTAGTACAATTATGGTAGTTTTGATTTTTCTCAGTTGTGTCAATCAAGAAGACCATCTATGAAAAGAAGTAATTAGTTTGAATGGGAGGTATTACCTCACCTTCTATACTCACCTAATATTGTGTCATCCTATTTCTATTTATTCAGATTGCTACAAGATTTTCTAAGTGGAAAAATATTTTAAAATTATGATGTCTAAAATGTGATTGTGTATTTTACTCAAAAACCTTTTTTTTTTTATTTTGGTCTTGTATTTAAAATTTATACACTAGGTGGCAAAAAGTAGTTGATAGTGAGGAGGATTACATCATTGATTAAAATTAAACTTGTTTATATCTTTGAAACTAAAACATTTATGTCTTTAAATTTAATACTAAGAAACAACATTAATTTCAGGTCTCCATAAGTATGTGGTTTGAAAGTATAATATTTTAAAATTGTTTAGATTTAAAGTGTTGGAAAATATTAAAATTTTTAAAATTCTTTTGTGAAATATATTTTAACTAAATCGCTATGTATAAACAATTGTTTGTAACTTATTTCTGGTATTAAACTTTTTTTTTTCCAGTGACTACAAAATTCTTAACGTTTACGCCATCTACTGTTCAGTATCAATCAATTCCAATGAAAAGTAAAATTTTAGTTTATACTTATTTACTTTGTGTGTTATTTATTTATTTTGTTTTGTTTGTTGTTGTATTACTTACTAAGTCAGGAGCAAAATTGAATTTAAATAGTTTTCAAACATATATCAGGGGTCTGTCGGGGGCAAATTTACTACCGTTTAGCAGTACCTTCACAAATTCAACTTTAGGAAAAACGGTAGTTTCACAAAATACTTTTAAAAAAGAAAGTTCTAAGAATCTCCTCTCCCGGCTCTTAAAATTTTGTTTTTGTATCCCCTTAAGAAACAATAAATCTCAACTTAATTAAGCATGCACGAATAGGTAGCACATGCTTGGTCAGATAGTGCAGTGTGGTAGGCTAACTGGTCGCTCACACCATATTTTCACAGTTTTATCTTTAAAATTGAAGGACGAGGCACTCCCTCTGTTAACTTTACAGGAAGTTGAAATTCAAAAATTTTTCTAAACATTCGAATATTGTTCAAAATTTATTCTAAAAGACCTTTATTTTTTTTATGAAGCATTTTTTTTTGCTGTGAAATTTTTTTCTATATGACCCCGTGGAAAAATTTTCTCATAATATACTTTTAGTCCAAGTACTGTTAAATGCATGTTTTTTTTTTAAATTCAAGTTGAAATTTAACAATGGACAATAATTTTTATGGATTTTTAAATTTAGATACAATTTTAAATCCAAAATTTTGAAGTAGCAAATTTTTTTTTGAATATATGAGGAAAGAAATTTAAAAATTTACCAGTCATAAATGATTTTTATTTGCAGTGACAATTTCTGAAAATATCTTCTTACTTTACCATATTTTTGTGTTGGTTTTTCAATATAGTTTTTAATTTTCACGAATTATGTCTAAATTTTCACAAAATAGGTACCTCTCATAAAAACCTAGACAGGCCCCTGTATATTTATCTACATAAATTTTTTATAGTAGATTTTTTATTTTGCTTTGTGTTTGATAGTATTGTGGTTTATTATAACTGTATTAACTCATTTTTGGTGTTTACAAAATTTTATAAAAAAAATATTATAATGCACATTTATATCATGAACATACTAAAAGGAAGAAACGATTCTATCAAAGGCATAGTAAGACACTGAAATCATAAATAAGCATGATTGCTTTATTCTTTTAAATTTCTATTTTGTCCCTCAAAATTTTTATTGAAAGCTTCAGTCTGTTTAAATTTTTGCAACAAATTGAAATATGTAGTTTATTCTGCAAAACTGGCAAAATAACTTGCAACATTTATTTATATTAAATGTATCTTTAGTGGTTGAATGATTAAAGCATTTATGTGTTATGTTAAATTAAAAACAGGATTATAATTACTGAAATAAAGGAATTAACATATTTTAGAAAATAGGAAAATTCAGATACTTAAACTGGTAGGACTCTCGCCTCTGAACAAACATTAAGACTCTTGGGGATCATGAAATGACCCCAAATTCAATAATTCATTTGCCGCTTAAAAACTTAATAGTTTTTGTCGAAAATATGTCAATTTTTGAGTTGAAGACTTTCTATTACTGAAATACACTCTGTAACAAAAAAATTGACGAACCAAGAAACAATCATCCGATTGCTTTGAAATTTCGTATGTATGAATGTTTGGAACAGATATGGCTGGAATGATGCCGACTGGGGACATATAGTCTTTAGCGACGAATCCCGCTTCCAACTGTGTCCTGACGATCATAGAAGACGTGTTTGGAGGCACACTGGGCAGAGGGGGATCCTGCCTTCACTATGGCATGCCGCACCGGCCCTCAACAAGGCATTATGGTCTTGGGTTCAATTTCCTTTGACAGCCGTACCCCTTTGATCGTCATTATAGATACACTTACTGCACAGCGGTACGCCGACGACATCCTGAGACCTGTTTTGCTACCGTTCCTTTCGCAGCACCCTGGGCCGGTTTTTCAGCAGGTCAATGCCAGACTACATTTTACACGTGTTGCTATGAACTGTCTGCAAGCTTGTCAAACTCTTCCTTGGCCTGCCAGATCACCAGATCTCTCTCCCATCGAGCATGTCTGGGATATGATGGGAAGGCGATGACCTCGCTCGACAATTGGATCGAATTAGGCAGGAAATACCGCAAGAGACCATCCGGGAGCTTTATCGGTCTATGCCAGGCCGTGTGGCAGCTTCTATCCAAGCTAGAGGCGGTCAACACCTTATTGAACTTGTTACTGTAACTCTGCAATAAATTATTCAATTGTTCTGAAATTTTAATCATTTACTATTCTGTACATTGTTTTCCTATCCACCAATTTTTGTTTCAATGGTACAACTCCTTCTTGGTGCATCAATTTTTTTGTTATAGAGTATATTTGCAGCTTTTTGCCATTCTTTTTGTGATAAAATATAACTTCTTTGATAATTATTAATTAATTGATAACAGTTTATGGACATAGACCACATTAGGCACTGCACCACACTAAACTCGGGACACTTGTGGGAGAAATATTTGAGAGCCTGTCACAAAATGAACGATCTATAGCCTCTCTGTAGTTTTGTTTTTGTTATATTGTTCATCTTTCCTCCTATTTCTCATGTTATTGTCTGTTTTTTGTAACTACAGTTGTCTTGTGGTCTGCAATCGGAAATAATAAAAAATAATTGTTTTTTTTCCATTTTCTAAGAGACAGTAAATATGCACGAAAATTACGTGTTCCTTCCAGTAAAGATTTTGCACAAAATGCTACTTCCAGTTGTTCTCGATTTCTAAAGCAAAACTTCATTTTGATGGAGGTTTTCATTTTAAATTTCCTGATTCCAGACAAGAATTGTTTAATAACTGAATTTCCTAGTTCGGGATTCAAGCTGATTATCCACAGATTTGCTGGCATTGATCACTAACAACTGAAATAGCAAGGTTCATTCTTTGATTTTTATACAGAGTTGGGTATCTTCATCAGGTGCATAGTTAGTGGATTTTTATGAGATAGAAAAACAGCTCTTGTACTTATTGCGGGAAAACTTCAATGAAAACAGTAAGCAAGTAAAAATTACATAAAAAGGGTACAAAAAATAATGTACTAAACTCATTCGCAATAAGAAATAGATTGATTTGTAGAACAAATGGAAAAATGCAGAAGATCTTTCTATCACCCCAGTAACTGATAAAAGGTTTATGAAAAAAATGGCAGAAAAAACGTATAATTGTTTAGAAAATAAGGAAGAAAAACTGAGCTGCAAATAAAAAAGGAATGAACAGTTGAATAAGAATAAAAATTTAGAAATTGCATGGGATCATAAAATGAACCCCCCCCCCCACACACACATACACCCTTCAGGGTAAAGGGTTCCTTTTTGTGTTCATTGCTCTATTATTACTATAATTATTGGAATTGCTTTGAGTTGAAACACACAGGGTGATAATAATGTTATGAAAATAATTGAGGATTTAAAAAATATTAAAGAAAAACAAAATAGATAAAAATGTTAAGTTTCCTGCATTTTGCTTAGAACATGGGGTAATTATTATATAAAATTCTAAAATCAATTTTCAAATCTATCAACAGATGCCACTGCAAACTGAGTAAAATTTTAAATAATATTTTCAAACTAACTATTATTTTCTACTGCAATGTGCTATGCAACAGTAAACTTGTTTTATTGTCTTTTCTCTTCAGTCATCAGCATCATCTGTTGAAAAGTTTTGTAACTAATTTTGACACTTGGCTAGAATAAATTCATTGTTCCTCAAGCAGTGTTCTGAAAACTGCATGTTTTTAGCTCTTTGCAAATACAAAGATTCTAATTATTGAAATAATCGTTACTTTTTTTCAGTCATCTTCCTCAAAATTTTGTAACTAATTTTGACGCTTGGCAAGAATAAATTGATTGTTTCTCAAGCAGAGTACAACAAACACATTTTTATCACATCACTTTCCAATTTAATTAAACTGTTTTGCAAATCATTGGTCATTTTTGGTACGCTTAGAAAATACAAAGACGTTTAAATGGGGAAACAATGATGGTTGCTTTACTAGATATGTATCAAGATTAAAAGCCTACTAACTTTTAAGTCTTTAAAGCTGAAAAGTCTCAAACCTTTATCAGAAGTAAAGATTTTCATGTACTGATAATAACATGTTGTGATAGAAATATTGTCCATTTTATTTATCTGATAGCATAAATACTGGCTTATTATTTTTTTTTTAAATTTTAGATAGGTTCATTAATCAAAAAATCAACAAAACAACTACTCAAGAATTTATCATCACACCTTCTAGTAAGAAATTTTTCCTTAGAAATTCTTATATTTGAGCATCATTTTATAAGCAATATAATAAAACTAATTTTAAAAAAAATAATTTCTTTTTAGCTTTAACAGCTACTGCCAGCCTACCAGTTCCTTCAACAACCATGGAGTATAAAACAAAATTTAGTAAGTATGTGTTTATACACTTATCAGATTTAAATAAACAAGCTCTTAAGCTATTCTTGCTTCTTTCTGATTGTTCTTGTCAACGAAATACAGTACAGAACCCGTTATCCGGAAATCAGTAAACCGGAAAACCAAAAAACCGGAACGAAATTCGATAAATTTTCCCGCCATTTTTTTTTTTTTAAATTTTTTTTTCCTCATAAGATTTTAGGGTTTTTCTTTCTTTTTTGAAAGATGTTTACCTTACCATCATTTTGGAAATAATCATTAGTGTATTGCTTTGTTTTTTCAAGATTATTTCCAAATATTTCTTTTTTTAGTTGGGTTTAACAATAAAAAAAAACGGCTTTTTGTAGCGATTCAGAAAACCGGAAAAATCAGTTATCCGAAATAGCGATGGTACCGATCGTTCCGGATAATCGGTTCCCTACTGTACTATTCATTATATTGAAAAACGCACAAGGAGTTTTGCCCCCTGACACAGGCCATACACTGAGGAGGCAAGCGATAAGTATGAGACATATGAGAGGTAGATTTCCATACTTTTGCACACACTAATGCAAAAGTTTGGAGTATCCTCTACGCATCCTAACACAAATGAATAAGAATATGCCTCTTTTTTACCACTTGCCTTCTCAGTGTGTGGCATGCCGTAGAGTTCTATAATACTTTTTCAAGATGTCTGATCAGACTTTTACCAATAAAATTTATTTTTTAATCTAGTTATTTATTGCTTAGAAAATTAAATCACTCCAAGTTCATCACATTTAGCAAGATGCTCATTGACAACATCCGTTGTATCATTACCTAATTGAAAGTAACAAACAATATGATGGTACTAGTTGAAACTGAATTTAAAACAAATTGTATGATGAAACGAAGTTGGTGCTTTACATCATACTACTAAAACTCCAACAAAATAGGTGTTGCTCTCTGTTTTACGCATATTATTAATTTGACTAATATTGTTTTACATTAATATTAAATGCATTTTAAATTTTCCTGAATCTCTTTATCTATTTCAGCAGGGTGCAATCAAATATAGCGCTATGGTGTCCAGACATACGTATTGTCTTCAAGAGGGCCCTAGATTTTAAGTTTACAAGTCACATGATAAAATTATTTTATTTTATGACCATCGTTAAACAGCCGACACAATTTTTTTTCACGACTACTGATAACAAACTTAACCCCGTCCCGCCCCGCCGCCAGAAGGGGGCATCCGGGGGCTTTATGACTACTTATGTTCAACGCCGTAATCTTATAATTTTGAACCCAATCTAGAAGACAAGGGAGCTCGTAGATCAAATATTGGGGGAAATTTGCTATTGTCAAGGACTCTTTTGATGGAACTAACCCGCTTTTGTGTTACACGGAGAGGAAAACCTCCCATTACTTCCTAATAGTAAATTTTAATGTTTGACCTATTTGTGTTTTATTAAAAAAATTTTTTAACCGTTATTGAACCACTGACTCAATTTAACCTCTACCAAAGTTCAAGTAATTTTGAATCCATTCCAGAAGGCAAGGGAACTTCTGAATTAAGTATTGACTGAAATTTGCCTTAGTTGATGCCTTTTGATAGAAATAACGCATAGGACGTAATACCTCATACAGTTAGCCTTATGGCAAGGGATGCAGTAACCCATAATTCATCTACCACTAAGGATATTTTATGTCAGCACTGTGGTTGGTGCGAGCTTTGTGTGAAATTCATATCAATTAGCCATCATTAGGATTCAAACCTGCAGCACCTTATTGGGAAACGAGCTCTCTATCCCCGGAGCCACCACGCCCCTATTAAAATATTTGAAAAAATTTGAGAGTAAAAAAATAAAAATTTTTAAAGGGACAAGCAGAGAGTTTGTGCCTACACTCAGTGCCCAAATTATTAATAGCAATTACTTTGTATTCATTAATAAAATGCCTTATATTTCTATTTACATAAGGAAATTTAATAATATGTTTATTTTTTTTATTAATATAGCTAGAAAATGGACTGACATAGTGTTTACTACAAAATTTGCTACTTTTGGTATCAGTCCTCCAAGTAATATGTTTGTTTTTATTTCGTAAATTATTTTATATAATAATATGTTATACATTGCAACTAAATTAAAACCGAAGTTTAACTTTATTTACAAACCATATTTAAAAACAATGCTTCTAACTGTTGGTAATTGAAATGGGCTACAGGTGGCACATAGCAGAACTCTTAACCTATGACAACACTGGGCTTGCTTTTACCAATAGCGTGTGGATAGTCATAGAAGTAAGTTAATGCCAAAAATATTGTTAAAGGAGGAAAAGTCATAATACTTTTCCGTACATCTAAGCAGAAGAGTAGAAACCCTAGCAGTAAAATAACTCTTGCTCTCATTGGACCAATATTCCCGAATCTTGACTCAATAGCAGGGATGAGATTTTTTTGCTTTTGTCTTTTGAAATTCAGCCTTTTTATCAAAAACTCAGATTCTTTAAAAGTACAGTTTTTTTTTTAATAAATATTCTGCCTTTTCTGAAAATGCAGTCGTTGAAATAAAATAATCATATTTATTTCGATTTTCAAAGATTATCAGAAAAATCAAACTATGTCGTGTCTGCTAACCATTCCGCCTTTTTACTTATTTTAGCTATTTTCTCTGTTTTTACGCACAAAAAATAAGATTTTCCGTATTTTTACCCGCTTGCCAGATTGTTCGTATTTTCGTAATTCAGACGTCTCTGCTTCCTGTTTGTTGGCAGGAAAGCAAACGAAATAATAAAAATCAAAAAATAGTGGTGGATTTTTGGTGAAAATATTTATTTGCTCCTTCAATTTATCTTGTAAACTTTTATTTATTTTGACTAAACAGAAACAATACAAACAAGCCTTATAGAAATCCAAGAAAGTTTATAATTTTTGTTATTAAATTTAGCTATGAAATTTTTGTAGCTTTTTGCTTTAATAATATTTAATTCTTATATTTTTTTTTGTAAATAGCAAAAGCATTAAAACATTTACATTTTTCTTATTTTTATTGTATTTTTTTATCAGTTGTGTAACATGTCTGTGTGTGTTATAGCTGTAACTGAATCTGGATATCTTCCTATACCTGAAACAACGACTGTTATCATTGCACCTTTAAGTAAGTTTCCTTTTAAAAAATTTGTATTTTATTAAACTAGAGACGTTGGTTTAAATTAATTTTAGACATTTAATTTCATGACAGCTTTTTTGTATGCGTATATTAGGAATGTAAATATATTTCATTATTTTCCTGATTTTTAGTCAATGTAATGTTAATTCATTTGTTTTGTTTGCTGTTGTTATAATAGTTTGGTATAAAACATAAAGTAATTGTTGAGAGCATATCTTGTCATATCTCAAATGCAAAATTCAGTCTTTATAGTGTTTGATTTACATCAATGTGCGTATATAGTTGATAAATATGTCGTCTGGTAGTGAAAATAAAGTCCATTTAGCTGTATTCAATGTTTAATTTTTGAAATTTAACTTAGATAAAAAAAAATTCTATATTTTGTGTATAATAAAACCTAAACTTTTCTTTAGATTAGAGTATAACTCAGAGTTACAGCAATATCACAAAAATACTTTTTTTTGTCAAAATAATCACCATAATAATTAAAAATAAGTGTACCGTGCACCAACAGAAAAAGGACCACCCTGAATAACTTTTGATCTAATGATTGGATCTTCACGTTCTTAATGATTTGAGGGGGTGACCTCAGATTTGCTAAAATAGTAAATGCAGACGATGTTTAACTTACGAAATTAGACACAAAAATGTACTTTCTCTGATGGAACATACCATTTATACAACGGATTCAGATTTCTGACCCTCAAAATAAAAGGGGTAGGCACAATCTAGAAAATATAGTCCCAATAGTTTGGATAGGAGAGCACTCCAAAATTTGGCCCCCTTAATGTTACTTTTACTTTTTGCGTATTTCGATATCTCTTGAGAACTTTTTAAGCGAATTCAAAATATTTACAAACAATTATAAAATTCGTTTATAAAAGTTATTCTCTTTTTTGCGCTTTGTACATCGACATATTACCACAGCATTTTGCTGTTTGTAATGATTTCTGTGTTACATTTCTAATGGTACAGTAGAGAACCATTTATCCGGTATCCAGATAACCGGGAAACCAGAAAATCAGGGGAAATTTTCATCAGTTTTCCCACCATTTTAAACTAGAACGATTATGAAAAAAAGCGGAAATTGAACTCATCCTTGAAGTTGAGTAGAGGAAAATGTAAGGAAGGGGAGAATTTTTTTCCCCGTTTATCCAGAGAAACGTCATTTCCTCCTTGACCTTGAAGGCAGGGAAGGGAGGAATGTTTTATTTTCTCCTTTAAGCCGTCAATCAAGCTCAAGGGTGTGGCATGCTGATTTCATTTTCTGTTTGATTTACGAGGGGGTGGGGAAAATGCGTTGCATGCATATCAGTGAACAGAAGATGAAAGAGAAAAATATATTTATCTGTTTGACATCGATTAATAAAAATAAATTCTTTTTCTTCTGAATAAATTTTCATTCTTTGGAAGCACGGTATCATTTGCAAGTTTTTATTGATGTGGAATCACATCTGCTGTAATTAAATATCATGTTTTTATCAGCAAAAAAAAAATAGAAGGAGAATTGTTTATTAATTTATGCATAGGATTATTTTATGAAGCAGATTGCAGTTTTGTTTTTCTGATTCCACTACGTTTGATATTTTTTTCTTTTCACGATAAATTTCGCACTTAATAAGTTAATTCTTTTTATTCATAAATTTTATCATTAGGTTTTTTTTTAAAATTCCGTTGATTGTGCCTTGTTCCGGGTTTTAATATTTATGCTAGTGCCTTTTTTAACTATCGTTTCGGTTCGATAATTTTCAAGTGTTTTTATTTAGTTCATTAGTTTTCCTTTTATTTTATTGTTTCCCCATATAATTAGGTATGAAATATATTGCGTTATTTAACCATTGGTTTTGTTTATATTAGTTAATTTAGGAATTGTAATTATTTTTAAAAAATAAGTACGAGAATTTTGTATTTTTTAAACTTGTTTTCTTTTTCTAAACTTGCAAATTTTTTTTTATTCTTTTAATTGTTATTTTTCTACCATTTTTTTTTTTTAAAGTTAGGAGTACCTTTCTTTTTTCTCTTACTTTATGCATTAAACTTTTTCCTTGTAATTCGGGTTCGATAAAACATCGATTAATGACACTTTTTGGTCAATCCAGAAAACCGGGAAATTCAGACATCCGGGATAGCGATGGTCCCGAGCATCCCGGATAATTGGTTCTCTACTGTATTTGTGTAATTCTAGCATATTTAAAAATTTATATGAAGTTTTTAAAAATTGAATGAATGCACTATTTTAGTAAACAATAATATGAATGGAATGGAAATTATATTCTAACATTTATCTTTTAATTTTAGTCACTACTGTTACCGAGTTTATCACTATGGAGCCAACTGAAACAGTACAATTTAAGGCTTCTAGTAAGATATATTTACCTTTTGTGTAACTCTGATTGAGTTTTTACTTGTGGCATTTATATTTCTTTTTTAATATATTGATTAATTGGTTTTATATGTTGCTGAGCATTAAGCAGATTAACTGAATGTGTTCCAAAAAGAATCTAGATAAAAAAAAAAATTCTGTTCTCAAATATGTTTAAACATTGTGTAATATATATATAAATGTATATAAAAGTAATATATATATATATATATATACAGTTAATATATATCTATAGTACAATAAATAAATACAAAAGAAAAAAGAGAAAACAAAGAAAAGAGAAAAACAAAGAAAATCAATCTTTTATATATATATACAATGAAACCTCCTGTTATGGACACTCCTAGTAAATGGACGCCTCTAAATGCGGACATATTTTTGATTCCCCTGTAATCTTCTATGAATAAACAATTATGTAAATTCTCCACAAAGCGGACACTCCCAGAACCTGGCGGGGACAGTAATTTTGGCCCTAAAACGTTATTTTCACCGTTTAGACATGTAAATTTTTGATTTATCCATAACTAAAAATATTGTTAAGATATTTCATTACTGAAGAATCAGCCTTTCTCCTGTCACCTTGCCTTATTGTTGTAAAGAAAGGACAGAAAATGATACTGCTCTCCTGAAATAATTCGAACAGTGGGATCTTTTGTTCTTTTCATCTAGACTACACAGGTTATGAGACCCCTCAAGTTGAAATGACATCTAAAATGCTATGAATGCTTCTTCCCCATTGAAAATTTTTTTAATTTTCTTATCAATTTGAAGACTGTCTTTAACACACAGCTAGGGTAAGAAAGAGAACAGAAATATAATCTTTGATATATTCATGTAACTGAAACGTTTATTCAGACTCTTTATAGCTGATTAATTATGAATAATCAACTCCATAAGTCCTCATGACTTAACTGTGAATCGTGGGAGGTTTACTTTCGAGAAGGTATTAACCATGTTCCCTATCAAATTATAGGTAGGTGTAAGGGGATGTAAACCTGATAATTGAAACCGACTGAGGACTGAAAACTCCTGTGCGGTATCATATCTCTGACTTGAGTATCTATGCTAATAGGAAAATTATATTCATTTATCTGTAGCTACATCTAGAATTATGCATTTATATCAGACTTCCTTATATATTCTTTTTTATCTCTCTTAAAGTTTAAATAAATATCCTTATAGATAGTTATTGTAAATTATGTAATTATTTCTACATCTTGAAAAATATTCTAAAAACAATTAACAGTGTTAAACTTGGTTATTAGGGTACCCTTCCCGTAAGCGGACAACTCTCATAAACGGACAATTTTTTTGATCCCAAAAATGTCCATGTCAGTGATCAGTTCAATTGTAGTAGTTCCTTCAGGTAGCATCATTGTATCTAATAATTCCAAATTGAAAGTAAATTAATTGTTCCCAACGGACAGTTAGGAGCATGGGAAGAGGAGCATGGTTGGCGATTTATCATAAGATAACATAGCCAAAAAATAAAGCCAACCTCCTATAATCAATATTATTGATCCTCAACTCGTTGGTCTCCTATAAAGTGGGCTACATTAAAGATTTGTGCAGGAAAAAATTATCCCCTGCACTTGCTGTCATCCCTGCCGGGCTTACAAAAAAACTTCAATCCCTTGACCTGACTGTCAATGGGGTTTTCTAGCAATAAGTGAGGAGAACTGGATGGAGCGTTGCATCCGCTCCTACACTAAATCCGGACACATGCGGTGGACAAGTTATGACGAGGCCAACGCATGAGTGTCCGAAGCTTGGAAAGCTGTTTTTAAGTTTGGTTTAAAAAGAATTTTTTTCAAACCAATTTTTCAGGACAAGGTGTACATACCAGGACGGCGTTTCTCAGCAAAACTTCGGTATATGTATATTACTGAAATATAGTTATGAAAAGTTATATGCCTATATTAAACGATATCACCATGCATATCTTGAAATTTTTAGTTTGTCATGCTGTTCAATTAACCTGAACATTATTTCATTTTGTTCACGTTTATTGCATTAAATCTGAAAATTTATTTCAATTGTTAGTTTCAATTAAGGCTTAACTAATAATTTTTAAAATATTTATTTTTATGTATTCAATTTTTCTTATAGGACACCATTTTACTTTGTCTAGATTAATAGAACCTTCCACAATTCATGTTACACCTTCAAGTAAGTTATAATGTGAGGGTAATATTAATTGTCAGTTATAATTTTTACTGTAAAAATCATTTAATATTTTAATTTCATTTGTCTACTTCTTTAAATATTTTTGATGAATTTTTCAATTTATTATTACAATATTTCTTTTAATTTATTTTGGGAAGTTTATGGTGGTTATATTTTATTGTATTTTGCAAAAGGAAAATTTATTATTATTATTCAGGAGAACCCAGTTTAATAGAAAAAAGCAGGCATGCGATTCTTCCACGAATCTCAAGAATGTTGATTCAAGGCCTTCCGAATCAATAATTTATATGTTCCGCTGATCTACAATTTAAATTTCGTTGCTTATGCAAAATCTCATTAACCAGACATTTATTCAGCCCTTACCAGCACCCTCTTTTTTTCTTATTAGGTTCTATTCTAATTCACGCTCAGTAACAACTTTTTATGCTGATTTGTTTGAGAAAAACGCAACGTTGGATAAACTTCGAGAACTCGAGACTAAAATTAAATTTCGTCAGGATTGGGAGAATTCTATCTCTGCTTGAGTTTAAAGAATTCTATGTAATATGCTGGAATTAATGAACTACTGAGGCAAACACAAAGCTATAAAATTGATAATCTAAAACGTTATTCCGAAATAACATTTAAAAGAGTGTTTGCTAGAAGAAAAAAAAATGTTCTTTTCCCATTTTTTAAAAACTTATATTTTAATGAGTAGAACTTTTGTTAAAATTTCGATTTGTAACAGAAGAATTATTTAATCAATGTTATATATTTGCCCCCCTTCTTATTTGCCTACAATTAGATCGAATAAATTTTTAATTTGATCACTTTTCAATCTTTTTTTTCTCTTTTGCAGTTAATGCAAATAATTTTTTCATGGGTTTTAAAGTTTTTGTATTATTATAACGCAAAATTTGGATCTCGTATTTGAGTAATCACGTTTTTATATGCTCAATCTGTGTGAATACTATCCATTAATCCATGTGATGTTTCGATCTTTTTTTTGGCCATTATTGCTACGATTTTTCTCAGTGGTTTTTTAAAAATCATTATTGTTGTTTATTCATCATTTTTAAAGCACGCAAAATTCAATTTGCTCATTTACTACTCACTTTTTCAACCGAAAATGCCACTATTTTTTTAACGACTTTTTCACAGTAATTGCTACTGATATCCATGTGGCGTTTTAAATTCCTATTTTTTAATATGGTCTTATTAAGAAGCGAGAAATTCTAACTGCATATTTGAATAATTACTTTTTGGTGCCATCAATTTGCACTAAATCAAGGTGGTTTTTTTTTTTTTTTTTTTTTTTTTTTTTTNTTTTTTTTTTTTTTTTTTTTTTTTTTTTTTTTTTTTTTTTTTTTTTTTTTTTTTTTTTGCAATTAATGCTGTGGATTTTTTGAAATCTTGATGTTATAATTTTTTCAATCAATTTTTCGGCAGGTGCCCCTGCCAATAATCACATATTTTTATAAAATCTCGATGTTTTTAACAAACAAATATAACTTTATTGAGAACAAAAACACATAAATACAAAGAATATATATTCGTCGTCAAGAGGAAAATCCTGTCCAGGCGACAAAGAAAAGTAATACAATAAATTTAAAATAGAAATTTTAAAAAAAAAAAAATAAAAAAAACAATCATAAATTATTTTGCTCATCATAAGACGTCATATATTGTTGAACACTGTAATAATAGAAAACAAAAAAAAAATGCATGAAACTATATAAAAAAAATAACAAAGGTAACATAAGAAATTCATTTGGATTGGCACAAGACTGGTATAAAAAATCAAATGCTTCCTTTAAAGTGAAAAATAGAGATCTAAATCGTCAATGTTCATCACAAATTGAAATAAAGCACGCTTAAAAGAAGAATATATTTTGATGTTTTGCAACTGAAATGGTAATTTATTATATAATTTAGGTGCTAAGTAAAAAAACTGTTTTCGTGAAATTTCTTTTGTAAAGAAGGGAATCTCATACATTTCAGTTGGTCTCCTTTCAGACACATTAGTTTTTAATTTGCATATTAATTTATTGTTGTGTAAATAGAGTAAAATACGAAAAAATACATTATGGCGAAATGGTAATAGGTTAATTCTTGTATATATATTGGTAGTAGTTACACTTGAATTATTTATATTTAGAGAATTAATAATCTTGAAGCATTTATTCTGAACTGAGATTAAGGGAAGTAAATTAGTTTTATATTCACCGCCATATATTATCGCACCATAATTAATTAAAGAATAAAACCAGGAGTAATAGAGTGCTTTCACAAAATTAAAATGAATTTTATTCTTAAGGTGATAAAATTTAACTAAAACGAAACGCAATTTTTTAACTAAATTGTTAATATGTGTTTTCCATTTTAAATTAGAATCGATATATAGTCCTAAATATTTGATATTGTTTTTAATGTATTATATATTATAACTCTTGAATGTCAAAACGTAGATTTAATTAACCCCTTTTAGAAGCGTCCAATTCGTGCAATTAAGTTATAAAAACACCTGGTTTTATCATTAATCTTTTTTCACTAATTGCCCTAGATTTTCAAGTTCTTAATCATTTTTTTTTTGTAAGTACACCTGGTTTTATCATTAATCTTTTTTCAGTTATTGCCCTAGATTTTCAAGTTTTTAATTTTTTTTTTATGAAGTGTGAAAAAGGAGGAATGTGTTGCTTGTATACAAAGCATTTTATTCTGTACTTAAAATATCTAGCTTATTTTTTTCCATTATATTTCCTAATTATATAATTAATTGTTCCAGCTGCTGTGGTTTCTATAACTGTTACTCCAACGACAGTTGAAACGATTCATATACCTAAAAGTAGTAAGTTCTTATTTATTCATTTCTTATTTTATTGAGTGTGAGGAAACTATGTAAGTGCAAAATGCAATGGAATGAAATTCCGAAATTGCCTGCGTGAAATATTTGCATTAAGTTCATTCCATGAAATCAAATTTGATAACCAATATGATAAATAACATTTTACCACCAATATAAAAATTTAACCCTTTTAGGACAATAATCACATGTGTCCAGTTTCGCATATATTTCCAATTTCGATACTTTTAATAGGATGTTATTATTTTTTTATTTCATCAATCACTTTTTGACACATTCGTTTTGCGCCATTTCTACTGTAAAAGTACTTTTTTTTTTTACAATAATAGTTATTTTAACGTTTTTTTTCAGTTCCTCACAATGTATTTAAAAAACACTTCGTTTTTTGGCTCATGAAGAGAAGCACATCTCAATAAATGTGTATTGACTTTACATGATAGCAACAATTTTTTCCTTGTATGCGTTCACTGCTTCTTTAATATAATACTTTAAGTCATAGCAGCTAAAGTCAAACATGCAACTTTTTTTTAGTTGGGAAAAATTAAAAAATATTTATTGTTTAATTTTTTTAAAAAGAGTTTCAATAGCAGTAAATTAAAGCAATAAACAGCTACAACAATAAATGTTTCTAAACCAATTTTTTTCCTTTAAGTTGTATATTTTTAAGGTTATTAGGATGTTGCTTGAATATTAACTCTGTATTTAACCCTTTGTATCATCGCGTTACATATCTGCAGCATACATGAAAATTCAATCCTATAATGAGCTGGATTTACCTATAAAATCGAACTAAATTCAGGTAAAGAAAATATTGCAAACTCGGGGGAACCAAGTCTTGGTGCAGCTACCAATATTATAATGTATTTAGCAAGAATTGTTCCACGACATAATTACAGGATATACAATTTTTTTTTACAACAATCCTCTTGATTGTATATTTGGCTAAGGAGGGATTGAAAAATGTGGCGTGAGACTTTGTTACCATAAAAACAACAATTTCAAAATTTTTCACATGAAGTTTTAAATATATTGGAATTTTTGTGCTATTTTTCACGCTATTGGAGATGTTCAACAAATGCTTTTTATTAATAAATTTTTAATTTTAAGTTCTTAATTTTTTCATAATTTTTTACGCACTTAATATGATGTATCCTAACATCCGCGTAAATATTTCTTAAATCAAAGTTGTTGAGCTACAAAGGGTTAATACTTTTTCTACTATGACCCGCACTGAACTCTGCAAGTCTGAAACCTTATTTTAAAGTCGCAAAATTATTATTTATTTTTTTTTTAAAAAAAGATTACTCACATTGGTAGTTATCATTTTTTTTTTGTTGTAATGAAAATATTATTCTCAAAATTAATGTCAGTTTCAGATATTTTTAATGTTGAAAAAAAGTTTAATTAAGATGGCACAGATAGTTATTTATATTATTAAAAGGATTTATGAATCGAGAAGAATTATTTTTAGTCTTCAGAGTGTCTGCTGCAAATAAGATAAACTTAATTTAACCTTGATATCTAAATTTGTTTCTCAATACGACCACACTTCCTTACACTCCAAGTACTAGTAACTGATACAAACAAAATTAAATTGAAATTATAGCTTGAACTATTTTTCTTTTGACTATATGGGTATTTTATTAGGAAAAAAAATATAATGGAAGCTGTACAATAATAGAAAAGAATTACAATAGAATGCTTGAAATAAAATAAATTTAGAAACCCTGATGGATATTTAGATCTATTTAATTATTATTTTTTATTGATCAATACTTCCGGTACTTATCATTACCTTCTTGTTCATTTTTAGTTTAAATTATAATGTTAAAAATTAAAGTCATTAATGGTTAATTTGTTTTTGACATTATGTAGGTGTAGCTTGGGATCAACTCTTAAAAAGAACAACAATGAAAAAAATCATTTTGGCTCCTCCAAGTAATTAAAGTTTTGTTTGTTTACTACAATTTTTTTCTGTTCCATATTTCAGTTTAAAAACCTTTTTTTCAAAGAGTTTGAAAAGTATGGGTGTATAAATTAAAGATCTCTCATCATAAATTCTTGCAGTGTACATTAATGGGTTTCGGACAATATAGATACAAACAATATAGATAACAGAGCTAAAAAAAAGCCTCACGTCTTTTTCACACCATGCTTGTTATGTTACATGTCTAAAGAATGCATGCCTTAAGGAATCTTTTACATGCTAAACATATTTTTTGAATGCATATTAAGCTGAGAAAGAAAAATTAAATTAACAACTATATATCTGCATAAACACTTTCATTTTTTATATAAATCAGAAGTATTAAGCATTGTTGAGAGAAAAAATATTAAACTTAAGTAAGCATTTTTTTTAGTTGTTTTGCATTGCACATTTTTTTATGCACAAATAAGAATTAAAGCAGTAAATGCTGTGAATTATTAACAAAATATTAATACTTTGTGTATAATTATTAGCACAAATTACATAGATACCCTTCAATATGCTTACTTCTTTTCATTCAATACAATGTTCAGTTGTGGCTGATAGATCAAAGTTCTCCATCAATGCTTATTAGCAGTGAATCATTACGTGATTCAGTAGACACGTTGCATCACCAGCATTTCTACATCACACCATCTTGCATTTCTGATCAATTATTTACATACCAAGCTTGACCTGTAAATATTTACATACCCAGGTGTTTAGAGGACATCGGGTGGCCGAGCGCTTCACGCTGTCGTGCCACAGGTCCTTGGTTCGATCCTCGGGTGAGGTTGACCTAGCCTTTCATCCCTTTAGTGAGTCCATAAATTGAGTACCAAGCATACTTGGGAACTAAATACTGATGGGTTCCACGTTGGGCTGACCACCCAACCGGAACATCTGCTCTTGTACTCCAGAGCCCAAAGGTCAAGAAAACTGAGATGGGCACAGTAGACCTTGGCCCTCTGTGGTCTGTCGCACTACTGAGTTTGTTTTGGTGTTTAGAGCAATATAATTTTTGAGCTGGTAACTTAATATTTTCTGTAATTAAAAGGATGTACATTATTTTTACTTGATAAAATTGCCTTTATTATACTTAGTGCAATAAATTATACGAATAAATTATCCTGCTTTTTTGGATGATCTTTCTCTGGCTCATAAAATCTGGTGTTGTGACCTAGTTATGTTAATTTAAAAATTTATAAAAATATTTTGTTCCCGTTTTTTGTTTTTTGCTTCCAATACTAGAAGAATTTTATATACACTTTGCACATATCTTTTAGTAATTGATATACATTTTCTTAAAATTGTTTTTGTTTTGCATAGCTATAAAATGTATATTTAAAAATTTTTAATTAAATGAAAAGTTTTTTACATTATTTTTTATGCTTAAATCTTTCAGCTAAAGTTATTACAGGGAGAGGGCCAGTTCCAACTACTAAAGTGATAAAATATACTCCTGGTATTTATGTTTTTTTCTTATTTATTTAATTACTAATGTTTATCAGTGTTATGTATTTATTAATGTTCTCAATGTTATGCCTTTTTTAATGTTTATCATTTATTAGTCATTTAAATATTAAAAAGGTTTTTTACATGGTATAATGGGCATTTTTTTTAAATTTTATCATTTTTACTCAAAAAAAAATTTTTTTTTTATTAAGTTTATATTTTCTTTTACAGTGACTGCCATCTTCAAACACACTTATACCCCATCTACCACAAAATCATTTAGGTATACTGCTACAAGTAAGTATTAAAGTTTTGAACAGAATTCTAAAATTAAATTGTAAGTTTTGTTCGATTTGACATTTTTAAAATTGACTCTCTTGGAGTGAAGGAGCAAGAAAATTATCCGTTTAACTGAGATTCCCACTTAAGCCATTTTTGGTCAAAGGTGCGCAAATGCACTATTTCAATAAATATTTTTTTATTAACACTGTGATGTATATTTTTCACTAATTATATTTTTTTTTCCTATTGTCAAGGGTTTTTAAGACATCCAAAAATGAATAGTAATTTAATTGGTGTAAACACTATCTGTTGAGAAATTTTTAAACTATTAAAAAATTTTTACTTAAAACGGTTATTGACAAATAGATTTTTTTGGAAATGTATAATTATTCCTTTTGAGATTAATCATTATATTTTTATGATGGATTAAAATTGCAAGTCAGTAAATAAAAAAAATTCATAAAAAACAAGCTTTCAACTAAATGGTTTGTTCATTGATTTGGTTAATGGTGCCTATATGCACCATTTTATTTTTTAAAATGCAATTTTTTATACACGGAATTTTTGTGTCTTAATGAATGTAATGTAAGCATATTTCAATGAAAATAATACCTCATTTTATAAAAGTTATATATTTGTCCTAAAATGGGATAGTAAATAACTTCTTTTTTTTAATTAAGTCTGTAATTTGTTTTAATCAATAGCAATGCAATATCTAGCTCCTGGGATAAGAGCTGGGCGTGGACCCAATCTCAGTTGGATTGACGGTCTAGAAAGAGATTATGCCATCTTGAGGGTAAATAATTGGAAGATCATGCTCAGGAAAAGAATGCAAGGGTGATTGCATGCCGGGTTTTTCATATCATCCCCCACAGATCTAGGAGCAGGACATGGGATTTTTTGTCAGTTGGATTGACTGTCTACATGATTAGATTTTAGCCATCTTGAGAATAAATAATTGGAAGACCAAGGCCAATAAAAGGATACAGGGGGATTGTATTCAAAGTGTGCCTCAGGATTCCGGGCGTTTCGTATCATTCCTCCAGGTCTAAAAGCTAGGAGAGGACATGTGATTTTTCTCAGTTGGACTGACTGCCTAGAACGAGATTTTTGCAATCTTGAGAGTAAATAATTGGAAGACCATGGCCAGCAAAGGAATGCAGGAGTGATTGTATACCTACTTTTTCGTATCATCCCGCCTGATCTAGAAGCCGGACATGTGATTTTTTTCTCGGAATTTCCACATATCTCAAGAGAATTCATTCGTCCCTGAATTTAAAACTTATAATCTGATGAAACGGGACTTTTCTGCAATTTTAATTTCATTTGATTTTTTTTTTATCAGATTTTCATTGTTTTTAATATTTGAAACTACACTGTAATCCGCTAATATCGCTGTTCGTATTCTTGTGATTTTATTATTGAACATCGATTTTCATATTTACCTGATTTAAGGTTACTCATTGGAAATCGCATTAACGCTATTTAAAAATCATACACCGTGATTCGTACTAACGGGATTTCAAAAATTCAATACCTCTATTTGGTTTAACAAATTTTTGGAATCAATATCGCGATTTATGTACACGGGAGTTTAAAATCCAATATCGCTATTGTATTCATGGGATCTAAAAATCATGTACAGCTATTTGTGTTTTCGTGCTCTTAATACCAATTTCGTAATTCATATTCATGCTGTTTTAATATCCAATTCTTGTAAGAACTGAGTTTTTTCATAAATTAGTTACTCTAAAAGTGCGATTTTTTATAGATAGGTAATTTAATTATAAATGTTAGTTCAAAAATTATATTAAATATTAATAGCATATAAATTGATATCTTTTTATCAAGTTTTTGCACCTTATTTAATAGTTTGTTCAAGTTTGCAATTTTCAGGGTTTTATACTTTGTATTACAATTACCCCTGTAAATGGCCTATAAGAAAATTCTTGAGAAGGCTATTGACCACCCTGCGCTGTCTTGCCAGTGAAGAAGAAGAATGCACATTTGAATAACATGTGTTAAACCTTATTGTTTACCTGAACCATATTAAAAAAAGACAATTTTTTTCGCCACATAAAATATACCTACCATTAGTATTAATTGATTAATAAGTTAAATGGTAGGAAGAAATAAGAAAATGTTTAGACCATATTTCAGCAATTTAAAATGTATTGTCTATGTTTTTTTTTAATTATTTTTTTTCATTAAAAAAGGATTGAAATGAAATTAGTTTGACTTTGCTGATCAGATTATTTATAAAATTGTAGTTTTTTTGCAGTTGAATATTTTTGTTTTATTTTGATATATCACAGTTTTAGAAGTAACATTTATATTTTCAGCTTCAGCTTATACTAAACATCTTTCAATTCCTTCAACTGTTACCTTCATTTATACTCCAGTAACAGGTAATAATAAATTGCTAAATATTAATTTCATTAATGTACTAAAAACTTTTCCTCATTTATGCATCAAAATAAGAGAAATCGTAAAAAGAAGGCCAAATTGATCAGAATTTTGCTGTTTCTAGTGAAGTTTAGCAAAATATCATTAAATAAAAAAATATCCCCTGTAATCAAAATTACCCAATATTGTCATTTTTAAACAATGAAATGCAATTTTATAAGCGTTAAAGTAATATATCTTTAAAAAAAACTGTCTGTTAAATTACCTCTAAGAAATTTCAAAGGAATTTTGCTATTCTCATTTGATTCCTTCATAGAATCTTTCTCAATCTGAAGTAACCAAAACAAATGTATCTTCCGTTGCAATTTTTTACTGCCCACAGAACTTTTTCTATGGAATAAACTTATCTGTTTTTGAAGTAACTAAAATTTACAAGCTAAATTTGATTTTAAAAAAAAAATCTAGAAATTCAAGAAATGGAATTTTCTTAAATGATTCGAATTTGCCAGACTCTCCAAATCTTTTAAGACCTGAACCTCTTTATCCAAATACTTTTACATTCTCTTTAGTGCACCTTCTATTACAATGTTCCTTCCATTATAATGATGGAACTGAAATTGTGACTCATCTGCCTAAGCTACTGTTTTCCAGTCATCTAGGATTCAGCCAATATGGTCCAAACACCAGAAGAGGCACTGAACGTGTTGTAGTGATGTTAGTAAAGACACTCAAGTCTATCTTCTGCTGCATGTCCAAAGTTTGTGCACTGTCCTAATGGAAACGTCCATTTCACGCCCCTCATTTATGCTTGCAGTTATTTCATACAATGTTACTTGGTTGTCAACTCTAACAGTTCTACGTGTGCGCCGACAGTCTCATTCATTAATTGCTGGAGGTCGGCCACTACTACATTGTCCATGGTGGGAGGTTATGCCTGTAATTAGGTATTCTCAACACACTCTTCACACTGTAGACAGGGTATTCGCGCACCTGGAAAGTCATGATTTTCGTTATTGAACAAAATTTGTCATGAAATGTCATGATTTTAACTATTTTTTTTTTAAAAAAAATTCATGTAAAGTCATGGATTTAAGTCACCAAAAAACCTAATTTTTAAAATTCTCCCCCCCCCCACCTCCCAATTTTATGGTGTTCTGAATTTTTAACAAAATCCCCACTACAGTCATATTTTATTAAAATATTAAATATTTTTATCATGTTCTTTAAAAATTATGGTGTTCTTTCAAAAAAAAATGAAAGAAAAAACATCATTTTTAAAGTGAATTATCTTTTAAATTTCTGCGATTTCAGAATTTTTGTTATTTTTAAATTTTTTTTTATCAATTTAAAATTCTAGCTGAAGCAAGCCCAGTCATTGGTGAAATTTTTTTTTTATTCCGAAATGCTAGCAGAAAAATCAGGAGTATTTGTTTCCTTTTCAATCAGCAAGGAAAGAATCTTTAGAATATAATTCTACTAAAAAGAGGAAACAAATTATTTGCTTTTGTATTTTTTTCAGCTATTTTATTGCTTCAACTCTCTCTTTTCTCTGTTTTTTAAGTTTAAAATCTATAAATATGAAGATGCAGAGTATAACAGTTTTGGTTGTACCTATCATTTCAATTAATGTTATTATAATGGTTTTTTAAAATTTATCGTCGTGTTTTTGTCGGAGAAAATAGTAACTTCGCTAAATCATGAAAAATTCTTGGAATTAGTAATGTGAAATCTTGGATTTGATATTCTAAAATGTAGCAGGTACCCTGTGTAGAGCTAGAAGTGTTCAATTCTTTCATGATTTCCGAAAAAGAATGTCCCATGTATCTTAACTCCAACCACTATTCCGCATTTGAAGTTTATTAATTCTTGTCTTGCTGTCATAATTACACCAAAAGCATTCTCAGTCGAATAACTTGAGCACAAATAAAAGTCCTGACAGTGTATATGTATTTTGTACGTATATAGTGTATATAACAGTGTATATGTATTTTGTACCCATATATGTATTTTGTCAGTAATACTACTGCTATCTGTATATATATTGCATATTGCTATCCCATGACTTTTGTCACCTCAGCCTATATATATATCTTGGCTTGGACTGTCAGCTAGCATGCTTGGGCTTGCTTGTGGGTCATAGCCCATACGTTGGGATTCCCTTGATCTAAATCTATAAATCCGTAATGATTTTGAAACCATATGTCCAAATACTCGGATTTAGTTACTTTTATTGATATATTCTTTAAAGAAATTAGTGATTTCTTTTTTTTATTGATATTAATTTCAAATTATCATTTCAGGTACTAAAATATTAGAAAAAAAAACAACTGTCCGCAGAACAGTCACATATCCGAGTACGTATAAATTTTTTCTGTGATTACCTTTATGTATTTTTTGCTTTTTAACAGTAAAAAAAATGACCCAAATAATCTCGAAAAGAATTCGAGTGTATTATCTAATTAATTAGTATTAGAGTGTCTGTATCTAACTTAGCCGTTTACAGTTGGTAAATCTAGGAACTGAATAATATAAATCTTTTTAACTATAATTGCTTTTTTATTTAAAAAAAAATTGCCAAATGCTCTACTTTTTTTGGTTCTGATAAAGTGTCCTCTTGTAATTTTCTGTCATTACTTCAGGGTACACAATATGTCATCTGCATAATGACATTCATGGTGCAAGTGTCTTCCTACCATAATAATGTTCAATTTCCCGCACTATCTTAATAAATCCAAATTTGCCTTCACCCCTAATGTAGTCGGTCCAAGATAATTGTAAAACTTCAGTTTAATTCAGCATTTTATATAACACATTTTACAATTTTAAAGTATTTATAAAATATACACAAGCACTTTTTCTTGTTTAACTTTAATTAATGGCCATTGCCAGGATTATCACTTCAATTAATCGGCAGATGTGGCAATAATCTGCAGCAAACGCTGCTGTACTGGATGGTTTCTGCGATGATTTTTTTCTTGAGGTAACAGCATCATCTACATTGAGATAAGACAAAAAAAGGCCTTTCATCCATAAAAGATCTGAAAAAGTCTGTCCATGGTGTTACAACTCATGGTTGACCCAGAACTTATGTCTTCTAGTTACGAAATCTTAAAATTGAAACTAATCTCGCGTAACTTGAACATCATTGTCAAATACATTGAGACCTCTAATAATTCCATTTTCTGTGATGCCATTATAAGTAATTGGTTAGACGACTTTTAGACAATGCTGATTTCTTTCAAATATTATAGATGAAAAATGAAGATTGGCAATCATCTCCAAAGCTCTTATATGCAGTTGAAAATATTGATAGCTTTTCCATTTGCAATTTAATTAGCATTATTCATATAATCCATAAAATTTATTGTAATTGTTATTTTATTTCTTTTTTCAATGAGTTTCAAAAAATATTTTCTACCCTGACTTTTGGAGGGCAATGTATAATGAATATGTGTATAATAAAAATGTGTATAGTAAGAATTTGAATAATATGTGTATAATAAAAATTTGTATAGTAAATATCACATTTAACCCACTCAAGTATTAGGACTCCGGTCAATCTCCACAGCCGAGTATACTCACTCATTGATTAATATGGAAAGTTGTTGTATAATAATTAGCTTATGTGTATAAAACACAGGGTGTGTAGCGTTTTTAAAAAGTGCTTAAAGGTGCTTATTTTCAATTTTCGTTCTTTAAAAGCCCTTAAAGGTGCTTTTTTCATTGGGTGTTTTAAAAACTGCTTAATTTTCCCTTTTCCAAAATAAGATTTTTCCTTTACCATGTTGATTTTTGCTACGAATCATGTAGAAAGACACTGTTCACATTGTTCTATTCAACGTTTTCACAATTATTTCAACCCCAATCTATTTCAGTGTATTGTCAGTTTGTAGCGTATGAAAACGCCATTTAATTTACATGATTCAAAAATTTTGACAATTCTCAAAAACAATGCCAAAAGTTTTTTTTTTTGACATGACGGATAAAACCAGATAAAACCATCAATTGTCAAAAGCTTTCCAATCCTACCTAATTGTGATTTTTTTACAGTGCTTAAAAATATTATTTGAGTGCTTGAAAAGTGCTTAAAAGGTGCTTATTTTTTGTTGATTAATTTGGCTACACACCTTGAAAAAGGCTTACATTTTTTACAAATAATGTAAAAACTAGTGCTCATTTGATTAATTATAATTTATTTATAATTCATATTTATGATGTATACTAATAACATATTGTTTTTTAGTTCGTAACTTCACTATACCTCAACCGTACCATCCAACTGAAAAAATAATTATTATTCCTCCTAGTAAGTTTTTTTATAGCTATTAATTAGTAATATATCTTTATTTTTCAATTCCTACTCTTAGTTTACACTCTCCGTATATCTTGTTATGTTGTGCCTATATCGTTATAAAAATTGTGTATAAATTCTTCACTGTTATCAAAACTTTTATTCAATATAAATTTTATTCACTGATATAAATATTAATATCTATTATTTCTAGCTGCCAATTATTCAGAAATTGTGACTCGAACCACTAGAAGAATTAAAGGTAAGTTGTTTTTTTTATATCATAGTTTATTATTCACCCAGAATTTTTTTTTTAGAAAAATTTTCATTCAATTATATCTAAATCATGCAGAAACTTTCCTTCTAAAATGTGTTTTAATAGGGGGAAAATACGACTTTTCATAAATAGTAAAAAAAAGTAAATAATTAAAACCTCAAACAATTCCAAATTATATATATATAAGCACAAATAATAAAATAATGTTAAAAAAAATAATATGAAATAGAAAACTATTAATGGTAAAAACCATAAGTCTTCCTCAATACACATCTTTTGGTATAATTTAATGTGATATTTCTAAATTAAGAGCTATTATTCTAAGCAAAAAATTATTCTTTATTTGCGTCAATATATATATATATAGTAGTTATCTGCTAAAGGAACAGTAAAAATCTCTTACCATAGTACCTATTTTGGATATCTATATTAGGTACCTATTACCACAACTACAGTTGTATCTATTCACAAATAAGTTCCAATAAATGTCTTGAAATTGAATTATATTTTATTGCTGAAAATTGTGAAATATTTGAGCCAGATTAGTGTTATGCTAGTGTTTATAATTTTTCAAGTTAAAGATAAAAAAAATATATATATTAGCTCAAAAACCATAAATTTTTATAGCACAAAGTATGTACTAAACAAATGAAAAAGTTTTTTTTTTTTTTTTTTTTTTTTTTAAAATTATTGAATAATTATTGAAAATTATATCAGTTAATCATTTTGTTTATTATTTACTTTTAATTTAAAGATAGTGCTGCCATCCTAGCTCATTTTGTGAATTGCTTTTTTACTTAAAAAAGACAGTTTTGTTCTGACAGACAATGAATGAGATTGTCTAACCTAAGATTGCTTATTTATAACATATTTTTCTTTTTTTTTAATAAAAGTTTTTGTGTTTTTTCTATAACTTCATATGGAGTTATAGAACCACATAACAAAATGCAAAGCACCTTGGTTTTAAGAATTTCATTAAAAAAGGCTTCTGCTGTGTTTGAACGGTCACCAACTAATAAATACATGTAGAATCAATAGAATTTTTTCACTAGTAAGCTTTTCATTGTCAGCTTTCAGAATGTATAGTAATTCTGTGACTTAAGTGTGACATTAGTTGTGAAAAAATACAGTTAATTCCTCTGTTTAAAAAAACAAAATTACCTTTCGGAGCAACCTAATGAATTTCTCAAAAGTTAAACAAACACTAACAATATACATTATTTCTTTGTAATTGTACAATAAATTTAGATTTTATTTAAAAAATAATTGCTCTGTCTGAAAAAGAAAAACTTAAAATACATTTTGCTATAATATTATCATTTTATAAGCCACAAGAATGAATTGCTAACTTAAAAAGTGAACATCATTCAGAATAGCTGCCAACAACTTTTAAAATTTTTACTTTATTCTCAATAGATAGTGCTTAACATGTAATGCCTTTGCAGGACATTTTCAACAAAAATTTTAAAAAAATCTACAGTATTTAAGATAAAAATCAAAATGAACCTTCACACTAAGAAAATTTTCAACGAAATGCTGCTAAATGTTTAGATGTATCTTTCGCATTAGTCATTATGGGTGGAGGCAGCAGTGTAGTGCATGAGTCATCAGGCTTTTCGCTTTTCATTTAAGGTGGACACAATGACCAAGCTATTCCCCACATTCTTATCAGTTTAATTGTTCTTCTAAGGGTTAACATTCCTTTGCTCACACCTGTCACCTTCACAAGTCACCTTTTTTGTAATAAAGGAGTGAGGAAAGTCAGTGGTCTTTGTTAATTTTACATCGCTCCCTTACTTGTTTTTGTGACAGAAAGTTAAAACTCGATAAGACATTTTAAATATAAACAGAGATGATTGTGCTCCAGAAAAATTCCAGATTTTTCGCTAACCACGATCCGGAAGTTTCCGGATTTCAAAGGTTCAGGAGTTTCAATAAATCATCGATCACATTTATGCTTAAAAATTCTTGCATATTTTTTTTTAAACATTTGAACTAGAATTTATACTTGGCTTCTCTTTCATTTGTAAATATTTTTTTCTGGTAAAATAATAAATGTGATTAGAGATAAAAGTAAACTTATAAATAATTATTTATTTAAATTATGCTCATTCATATAATTTACTGAGAATTTCATGTTTTGAAAATATCAATGATTTAAATTTATGAGGACATTAATTTTTTGAAATGCGTCATTAATGATTTTACTCAAGAAATTTGCAGGAATTTTGAGCTCGGTTCACAATCACCCCTGATATAAAGTTTAAAAAAATAAAAATTGGAAGAGAGTGAAAACTTCTTAAACAGGAGAACAAACTTATAAAAGTAAATTTAACATTATGGTATTTGGGTTTTTTTCAAAAAATGCGAGAAATCTTTTTAACTGGGTTCCACTATATTCAAAAATTACTGTATATTCTGCAATTAAACGGTATACATTAAGTAACATTGCTTCTGAGACAAGACATATTTTTTTATTTGTGTATTGAACTATTTGAGTGATTTGATCTTAGACTTAGAGGTTGAATCTGAATAAAATTCAGCAAACACTACAGGAGCATCGATAGATTATATATTTTTATTTATTTAAACCAAGATATTTATTATTGACTTTTTATTATTTTAAGACTAATGCAGTATAAATTATTTTAGTTACTGAGGCCACAACTCGTACAGTACATTTCACTCCTTCTAGTAAGTATAAAGATTTCCCTGTTGGAAGGGTTATTTGGGCATTTTTCTTTTAATTTAGAAATCCTAGAAATTTCACAGAACAAAACTTTATTTCTAAAAAAAATAAATTCTTAAGGCATGTACTTAAATAAACTCGAAAAAACTAGCAATTTAAACTTATCATTTCTTTCAGTCTATTCATTTAATCAATTGTAATGTATTTTACCTTAATTTTCTTTTGAAAGTTGCGCACTTTTTTATACTTGCTTGTCTTTTTTTATGCACATTTTTGACTTATTTTCTTAAATACACACAAATTAAGCATAACTAGAAGGCAGTAGATATTTTTAAAGTGTGTGAATGGGAAACTGTTATGTGAATAGAAAAAAGTAAATTTAAAATATATCAAATGTTATTAAATTATTCACATTATTTTTTATAAATGGAACTCAGACTTTAATAAAAATTGGATTGAAATATTTTTTACTCAAATAGTACTGTTTTTTGGTTCATGATAAAATATTATAATATTCTTTAAGATCAATATTTTCCAAAACATATTTTCAGGAATTGTAGAATACTTTTAAAAACGCAATTTATTTAATATTTGTTTTGCTTACATTCTATTTTATGTTTTCTATAGCTTCTGTTGTAACTCATGCTAAAGCTGTGCCAACCAGTAAGAATTCCTTTTGTTTTGCTTTATTAGTATCAATTACCTAAAATAACTTGATCCTAATTAAAGCTTGTAATATCTATGTAAAATTATGTGACATCTTGAAATATTAACTGCATCAATAATCTGTTATATATTTCTTCTATTTGTCCTTTAATTTATTTTTAATCTTAACTATTAAATACCAAGTAATTAGGTATGCTGTAGTTAACCACTTGAATTGATTATAAATAGATAATTTTTTATTTAAACCAGCATATTTACTATGGGTTTCTTATTATATTAGACTTAGAGGTTAGGCAGCTCCAAGAACAGCGCACGTCGACCAGAGGTCTGGTGTACCCAAATCCCAAGTCATGATTACCAAGAAAGCCGTATAGCTGAAATAAAATTCAGCAAACACCTTACAGGAGCATCTTGCAGTTCCTAGGCCTTAATACAATGTTGCCCTAACTGCTCAAATCTTTGACCAGAATAGACTTCACAATCACAAAGTATATGCCGTGATGTCACTTCTTCAAGGTGACAACCCTTGCAAAGAGGATTAGTTTCAATAACCATCGCATATAGGTGTCTCCTGAGGATGCAGTGTCCAGTGAGAAGACCAATGATCTTCCTCGAGTTGTTCCTGTTTAGTTTCAGAAGCTCTTTTTGACGTACACTGGGACAGTCACGATTCAGCTCCTTAGCTTGTCTCTGACCGTCTGTGTCACGCCATTGCTCATGGGCAATTTTGCCATAGAGCTTGAATATAGATGCCCTGAAAGATTTGGGAGAAATTTCCAAGGCTGGTTCAGGGCCAATTCCCAGGTTGATAACTGAATAAATTTCCTAAAAAAGTCCCTGTTGAAATAGCATGTTTGCCGAGATTATTGTTTCCTTGAGTATTTACTAATACGTAAGAAATTAACCTCATTGATAGAAATCAGTTTTAAACGTTTTTTGTTCTTAAATGTTTAGTTTTTTCATTTTTTTTTTATTCAGAACTGATTTTTTAAATAAATTTTTTTTTACTATCTTTGATGAATTAAATACCTATTCAAAATTATGAGTAAACATAATACATAACATTTCAAATTCATTTAATGTCAATCATAACTAGAAAATATTGTACTTTTTCTATTTTGATGTCTCTAAAAATGCCAATGTGAAAAATATTAAGTACATCATGATAACAATTATCATAAACTTTATATTATTTCGTAAGATCAACTGGATTTTTTCCTATCCATGTTGGCAGCTATGAATTAATATTCATAATTAAATAATAATTAATATTCAGCATTAAATTTCTTAATCTTTTTATGAAGTTCAGAATTTGAAACTGATGGTTTTAAATATTTTTGATTGTATTTCTACCATTTCTTGATAATTTATTTAAAAAAAAGGAAAGAAGGTTATTGAGTTCTTTAAAATAAGCATTGTGTAATGCTCTTGAATTTTCTTTTAGTATTGTTCTTAAAAAATAATCTATTACTTAATTGATTGTTTCCATTTTCTATGTGAAACTTTTATAGTTATAAACATAACTAATTTCGGTTTTTCGCAGAACTTGTTCGCTTTAGTGCTTATATTAAACATCCTTATGTGATAGTTGCAAAATCTATTTATGTTTCTATCCTATTAAAATGAAGACAAAAAATAACTTTAAATTTTAATTTCGCTCAACTTAATCATGATTGTTGCTATAATTGCTGTTGCTATGTAATTTTATATTCTCTGCAATTATTGTGTGTAACAAATTTTGGTATCAGTTGTACATATTTTGCATCAAGCTGAGCTCTGCCTGCTTCACAATCAATATTTTATATCGAAAATTTAAAATATGTTGAAGATGTTATAAAATTATTATTGCTCTATTACAGAAAAAATTACCCTATTTATGATGAATTAGTTAAAATGTTTATTTCAATTGAAAAAAATATGTGTTATTAGATGCTCCAAATTTTCAAAATACAGTAGTCTCGATAATTTCAGCCTCGATAGTTCGAGTTTCCCATAAATTCGAGCTAATGAAAAAAGTCTGTCTTGCTCCCAAATAATGATCAACGCACACACAACACGTGTAACGATTATTACTATTGGTTTTACGGCGATTAATACGGCTGAATGCTGGAAACGATATTGTGCATTAAACACTGAACCATGTGAATAGTGTGTTTAAACAAAAAACATTAGACAATTATTTTAAAGTACAATTAACCTGATGCAGTAATATAATGAATATTGCAACTTGGTGTAATGTTGTAAATGTATCCTGATCTTCTATGTAAGTAAACTTTCTTTAAATATAATATATTTTTTTAATAAATGCTGAAATTTAAAAACTGCTTTGTTTCTATTTATTTAAATATTTACTATTTAATTTTAAGTTTTCAAGAGATAGAGGTAGACTCAGTCCTGTCTACTTGAAATTATTGATTCTCTACTATAATTTAATGTTTCTGATTGAGACAAGTAACTGGATAATGCTTCTGGGGTAAAATTAACAGTGTAAAATTTTCCTTTCAATTTTTAATAGTTTTCTTTAAAATGCTAGTAATTCTTTCATTTCTTATCATGCCGTTAAATAATAAACTATTCTGTTGAGTAATTAAACTAATAAATAACAACCGTCGTGCCATTGAAAAATATCCGACTTTATTCTTTGTTTTACTTGTGCATTGGAGAAAATAAAATTGCTATTTCATAATTTTTATTTTATTTCTTTTTAATATTTATAAACGTACCTTAAATACACTTTATTTTTATTTTATAAGACATTGTCTCATCTTTTTTTTTTCTTCATCATTTTAAGACTAATATATTTCTATTTCTTTCAGCTACTACTGTTCGGACAATACATTACACTCCGTCTAGTAAGTTGAAAGTTCTCTGATGCCTTTCTTGCAGTTAATTTTTTTTCCTTTAAAGACTAAATAATTAATGTTTCAATCTTTGTATATTGATTTATAAATTTTTAAAGAAAATGGTAAAATTTTTATTTGATGCTCAGAAGTTCAGAAACGATCTGCTCTAAAATTTATTCCTTACATTTTGTTTAATTATGCTTAGTAATATTTTACTTACAGTTTCATTATCTCTTTAGCTTCCATTGTGACTCATACTGTTCCTGTGCCATCAACTACTCAAAAACGTAAGAATTTCTTGCTTTTAGCTGAAGTAAATATTATCTAAAATAAATGTTAGCTGCTTGAATCATGAAAATTGTACAGTTAACTCTCTCTACTACTATATCCGATGCAAGAATAACTCCCTCTACTACGATATCCGATGCAAGAATAACTCCCTCTAGTACAATAATGTTTTGATATGTACAATAATGTTTTGATATTTGATTTGATAATGTAATTCATATGCAATAACGTGCATATGAATTAATGTTCTTCTCCTCTTTAATGTTCTTCTCCTCTCTATATTGCGTTATTCTCCGAAGCACTAAACCCCTGTAAAAGGGTTTTTTTCTCAAATTTTAACCTTATTTTCTCCATTTATTATTGGTTTTCAAGCGATGTCAAAAATCTCTATCATCTTTTGCCATTTTTATCTGTCTTTTTCAACAAGAGTATGCTCACTGCTGATTATGTACTTCATATTTCTTTTCACCACAGTGAATGGCTTTCGTATTCTGATTTCAATAATACGACCTTGACATACATAGACCACCCCAAGAACTTCTATTCTTAGAATTGCCTCCCTTATCTCTTAAGAAGCCACAGATGTAACATTCCTATCTGGTTTTATATTTAGCTGTGATTAACACTCTGCAAATTAAATTTCTATATACAGTAGAGAACCGATTATCCGGAACGATCGGGACTATCGCTATTCCGGATAACTGATTTTTCCGGTTTTCTGAATCGCTACAAAAAGCCGTTTTTTTAGTGTTAAACCCTGGANTATTTCCAAAATGATGGTAAGGTAAACATCTTTAAAAAAAGAAAGAAAAATCCTAAAATCTTATGAGGAAAAAAAAAATTTTTTTTTTAAAAATTGCGGGAAAATTTATGGAATTTCGTTCCGGTTTTTTGGTTTTCCGGTTTTCTGATTTCCGGATAACGGGTTCGGTACTGTAATATATAAATACATTTATAGTTAATACATATATAACATTAAAATTTGAAGAAAAACTTATTGTGTCAAAAAGTATGTAGGAGCCCTCGAGGGCCCCCCGTACGCTGAATTAAGCGAACGGGGGGCCCTTGGCTATTCAAAATTTTGGGGCCCTTAGATCAAATTTTTTTTGTTGTATACTTTTTATTTATTCAAATATGAAAGTATTTATATATCTTTTCATTTAAGAAAGTATATTTAAAATAAAAATAAATTAAATATTAATAAGTAATAAATAAATATGATTAACATTATACNTATGTGCCGAGTTTCGTGCCTGGGCGAGGCTTCTGGGGCGATATATTGTGATTACAGACACACACACACAGCCGCTTTTATTATTATGTATAGATATTTGAAATTGATTTTTTTTTTAAATCATTATTTTTCTTAATTTTTTAAAATTTATTTTCAAAAGAGCCATTTTAAGGGGGCCCCTAATCCTTGGGGTCCCCAGCCCATGGCGTAGTCTGGCCTGATGGGTAATCCGTCTCTAGCCCTCGATATAACAATATATCCCTCTATATTTATTTGGCCCCCAAAATATTTTTGTAGTGAGGTTTTACCGTATTTAAAATTACTCTTACAAAAGTAACTGTACTTATACGTGTTTAAGTTAACTCTTTAAACACCTAAATTGCACGAATTTGAAGTTGAATGATTAAATTGCATGAATTGGAATTTAAACAATTAAATTGCATAAATTTGAAGTTATTAGATTAATTAAAAGTTAAATTGCATGAATAAGTAGGACATCTAGACACAAAGTTTTAATTCCGACTCTTCTCTAATAATAAATCTGACTCTTATTGTAAATAGTTAACTTTATCTGTAAGATAAATACAAATTTGACAGAAGTAATACTATTACAACTTAATTTATCAATAATAAAAACTTTTACAGCATACTGTTTGCTTATCAATGTTAAGGTACGAAATACCATTCTACAAGGTATTCAATTTTGACTCTTGCTCCCTTAAGTTCCATAAAATATCATTTTGGATAGCACAATAATAATGAAATAGAAAAGCAACAATAATGAAAATAGCACATTTCTTAAAAGATCCAACATTTTATATGCATCAAAAATGATTTGGCAATATTTAGAAATCTTTTTAAAGCTGAGATGAATTCTTTCAACTAACTGAAAATCAAAAATTCAGCAGACTCAGGCAACTGAATGATATTATTTAATAATAAAAGAGCAAGAATTAACTTTCTTTTGGAAGAGATCACATCTTCAAATTATTTTTTATATTTGATTACTACTTTAAATTATTAAAATCTATTTTTTTTATTGTTTTTGGATAACAAATTTTTGTACTTGGTTAGAATTTTCTTCTTTTTCTTACAAATGGGCCTTTATTTTGAAAATTGAAATAAGCCCTTTTCAGGCTAAAAAGTTGCTCATTTTGACAAATAATATTAAGTTATTATTACTGTTATTAATATTGTTATTATTGGTATCAACCAAATTGATAAATCTTTGCCAATATTTTTAAATCAAATCAAACACCAACCCTTAAATATTTTCACATGTGAAAAAATGGACTTTTTCCACTTTAAAAAACATTGACATAAATGGGAATAAGATCAATTTATACAACGAATATTCACAAAATCAACTAAGTTTAGGTTAAAAATAAGGGTTTGACATCTACATTTTAAAATATGATAAATGGTGCAAGGTAGAGATTATGTTAATTTTGACATAGAATTGAAAAATTACTCTTATTTTAGTTACTTGCAATACTTGTTCGTTTTATTGATCAACATTGAATCTCATTAACCTTTAGCAGAATGACAGATTTTAGTAAAGCAACACATTAGCAACTGCAACCTCAAGTAGTGTATTTTTATTGAAGAGGCATACTTTAGCTCTGTGTTGTATAAAGAATAGTGGTTGTTAAAAATTTAGAAGCAAATAGTATTTCTAGTGGTCTGTAACATTTTTGGATTAAGTGTTGCGAGATTGGCTACGCTACACTGCACCAGAAAGAGCTAAGCGTTTGATACAAAAAATGTGTTTTTTTTGCAGTTTATATGTTATAATACTCAGATATAATTACCTAAAGTTATACTTAACTCAACTTCCTTAATATGATTGCTTCAATTGTACTTGAAATCGGTTAGCTTGAAAATATCCTACTTCCCCCGACTTGGGTAAAAAATATTAACTAATTGAATATATTTCACTAAATAAAAATTTTTACCGTTAGAAATTAAATCAAAATTTATATTTCTAACTATTATAAGAACTGCTTACTACTTCATAGATATAGAGATTGTGTTATTCTTCACTCTATGCAAAATAATTTCCTTCAAAATGTCATGAATTCTTTCACTTTATGTTCATCATCAGCATAACAGCCCGGGACAGATTTTAGCCTTTCCTAGAACCTTTCTCTTGGAGAAAGATTCTCGAAATTCTCCATGCCCTTCTCCTTGTTGCTAGTTAAATAGTGATTGTTTTAAAATCTACATTAATGAATAACGAAACTTTATATTAGATAATTAAAAAATAAGGTATTAATATTACATTAAACTAGTTATTATTTCTTTATTATCTGTACATTCTTTATAACAATACCTTTTTTTCTTTACATTTATTTTTGTTTTATGTTACATATAGCGCTCATTCAACTTTCTTTTTTTTTTAATTTAGACATAATCAAATATTGATTTTCATTTTCAGACTAATAGATTTTTAATTATTTTAGCTAAAGATTTTAAAACTTCACATAGAACAATACATTACACTCCTTCTAGTAAGTGTAAAACTTTCTCATAATATATTATTCTTGTGGATCGTGTGTGTTGACTTTTTTTATTTGTTTATTTGTTATTTATTTATTTATTTAGTTTTCAATTTAGAAATCCTCCAAATTTTATTCACTGAAGCTCTGTTTTTTTTTTTTTTTTTAAATTAGTTTGAAAACAAGTTATATAATTTTTAATTGATGCTCAAAAACTCAAAATTAAACACTAAAGTTTTTTTTTTTAATTCAAATTTGGTTTAATTTTTCATTTGAAGAATTTTTTTAAAATTTTATTTTGGAAAAGAATGACTTTTCTTATTTGTTTCGCTTAAGAGTTTAATTTGTTTAAAACATAAACAGATTCACCCTAATTTAGAAAGTTTAAAGTTGAATTGAAAGAGTTTAATTTTTATCTTAATTAATTATGAGATAATTTTGGTGCTTGCTAATGTTTTTTCATATTTGCTAACCTACCGCCAACTCTTTTTTTTTTTTTCTTAAAGGGAACATTTCAATGTTTCAAAATATATTTTCATAGACTTTTTTGCTTTTTGGGTATTTTAAATAGAAATTAATAGTTGTTTTACGTATATTCAATTTAATGTTTTTTTAGCTTCTGTTGTGATTCATTCCAAGCCTGTACCATCAACTACTCCCTGTTGTAGTAAGTATTCTTCCTGTTTTTTTTTTTTTTTTAAGATAAATGTTTGTTATTTCAAATAACTTTGATCCAGTTTAAAGTTGTAAACTCTGCGTGATTTTTACAGTTCAAAAATAAAATTCCTATATTTAAAATTAGTCCTAGATTAGTCTTTACCTATCAAAATACTTAAACTGTTTATCTCAAGGCATACTTTGATAAAATGAAAAACTTTTTGCTGCAACATATCAATTGAAATACTTTAACAACCGCAATCCATTTCGGCGTACCGTCGGTTCATAGCGTATGAGAGCGCCAATCATTTTACATGTTTCATGAAATAGTACTTGTGAGTCCCCATGTGCGGTTACTGAGCCGGGTTTGGTGAGATTATTGCACTCTCATGTGCAACTTTGCTGCATTTTGCAAGATATTCTCAATATCAAGCTTCATTTTCCACCCTCTGCTATCGAACTGAAAAATCTCTCGATCTTTTATGGTTGATAATACAATAATAAAAAAAAGAGTTCTTTGTCTGAAACTAGTTATTTTATCAGAATCATGTAAAGTCTTAAAAAATTATTGTGTTTAAAAATATTTTTTGAGTGCTTAAAAAGTACATTAAAGTGCATATTTTTTGTTGAAAGATTTAGCTACGCACCATGTTTAAGAACCTGATTATGTGTGTTCAATATCGAAATTTCTACAAATTGTATAAAATTTACAGAAAATATGGAAAATCATTGGATTGTTCATTTTTAGAAACAAAGTTTTTTTTAAAAAAAATAAAGGCAATTCATTAATAGAGACAGAAATTTGGAGTCCTAAATATTTCATTTTTCTAGAAGACAGAAAATTCTAGCTGTTGTTCTATCCTGAGGCATTACAGGTAAAGGCGAAATTGTACAGGCATTCTCTTACTGTGATCATTGTGTACTTCCTCATTGAATGTAAATTAATGTATTGTACTCGTTAGAAAAATTAATATTTTACTGCAGGAAAGCAATTAGCTTGAAGTTAGGGAAGACCCAAGAGAAAGTTTTTAAGTGTTAATGTGTTCAGCTAATTTCAATTTCTTTCCTATCAATTAATTAAATTCTAATGTTTTCCACAGTTAGACTAAATTAATTTTGGATTTGTCGTCAAAATGCTCAGTATAAATATTATTATTTTTTACAGACCGTCGGTCCATAGCGTATGAAAGCGTCAATCATTTTACATGTTTGATGAAATACTTGCAGTTCTGCATGTGCGCGTACTGAGCTAAATTCAGTGGGAATTATTTGTGCACTATCATGCGCAACTCAGCTTCATTTTCCTCCCTGTGATATCGAACCGAAAAATCTCTCTATCTTTTTATGGTGGCTAATGTAATCAAGAAAGAGTTCTTTGTCAGAAACCAGTTAATTTATCATGATCATGAAAAATATTTGAAAGTCTTTGAAAATTATTTTGCATTTTGTTAATATAGTGCTTACAAATATTTTTGGAGTGCTTAAAAAGTACTTTGAAGGTGCTCATTAATTGTTGAGAGATTTGGCTATGCACCCTGTTTTTCCACAGTTTAATTTAATTAATTTGTAGATTCCTTGAGAAAGTGCTCGTTATAAATACTATTATTTTTTATAGATTTCAATTATATAAATTTTAATCATGTATAAATTTTTCATCCTGATCAAAATGTTTAAGTTTGGATTTTTTATTTAAAAAACAATATTTTTGTTAGTTATCTTCAGTTAATTATCAGTNTTTTTTTTTTTTTTTAAGGGAACATTTTTCAAAATATATTTTCATATACTTTTTTGTCTTTTGGGTATTTTAAATTGACATATATACTTAATAGTTGTTTTACATATATTTAATTTAATGTTTTTTTAGCTTCTGTTGTGATTCATTCCAAACCTGTACCATCAACTACTCCCTGTTGTAGTAAGTATTCTTTCTGTTTTTTTTTCTTTAGATAAATGTTTGTTATTTCAAATAACTTAGATCCAGTTTAAAGTTGTAAACTCTGCATAATTTTTATAGTTCAAAAATAAAATTCCTATATTTAAAATTAGTCCTAGATTAGTCTTTACCTATAGAAATACTTAAACTGTTTATCTCAAGGCATACTTTGATAAAATGAAAAACTTTCTGCGACAACATATCAATTGAGGAACTTTCTGTAAGCTGTTTATTTACTCTTGTAACTATTTTCAACCCTTTCGCACTCACCTAATTTTCACTAAATTTGCTAAAATTAAATTCCTGGTGTTTTTAAAAGTTTTAATTTTTATAAAACTTTATATTGAGTATTATACATGCCAGCATATATTTCTTTAAATATAAAATTTTTTTTGAAAATAAACTAATTTTTTAATAAATTCATTTTACCGTTGTATCCAAATTTTCTAAAATTGCTTTCAAGGTAGAATGTGAACATTTCAGCCATTTTTTTTAAATAACGAGTACTATTAAAAAATTGCTCCACTATGGTGACAAATTTCCCACAAACATCTTTCGTATATTTATGTATATTAAGCATATCTGTTTTAATCTCTTGTTATTCTTGTTATTGCAATTGTTAGTTTTTAAAATAGAAATGTAAAAAACACTTATTCTCTCAGAAAATGTTCAATTTAACATTATTCTCAAGGCAAAATTGAAAAATTACATTCACTTTATTCTAACAACTTATAATAGTTTGTAAACGGACTGGAAAACATCCCTGAGGATGATCCCTAGACATGCCATCACAATTTTGATCCTCTGCAGTGGGGATGGCTCCTCTACTTTGGTAGCCGACAACTTGTGGGCAAAGTCGAGAACTTTACGGTAGAACAGTTTAACTAGGACTGATGCCGCGCACCCTCGGTCACTACGTAGGCTTTTCAAAATGGTCACTCACCTGCTTACTAACCTCAGACAGTGATGCTTGACTCTGGTGTTCTGCTGCACAGCATAAGGTAAACAAAGAGGAAACAAACCAGAAGCGCTGAGTAATGCGTTGCTAGGCAGAAGGATGCAAAAAGCTCATCATTTAGCGTTACTCAGGATGCACCACAAGGAGGCCTGCCACACTACAACCCAAAAGAATGTCCAGTAAATATAGAACAGAAAATATAGAAAAACATTGGGTTGTTCGTGTTTAGAAACAAAGTTTTTTTTTAAAAAAAAAAATGCAATTCATTAATAGAGACAGAAATCTGGAGTCCTAAATATTTCATTTTTCTAGAAGACTGAAAATTCTAGCTGTTGTTCTATCCTGAGGCATTGCAGCTAAAGGCGAAATTGTACAGGCATTCTCATGCTGTGATCATTGTGTACTTCCTCATTGAATGTAAATTAATGTATTGTACTCGTTAGGAAAATAAATATTTTACTGCCGGAAAGCAACAAGCATGAAGTTAGGGAAAACACAAGAGAAAGTTTTTAAGTGTTAATATTTTCAGCTAATTTCAATTTCTTTCCAATCAATCAATTAAATTCTAATGTTTTTTCCACTGTTAAATTAAATTAATTTTAGATTCATTGTGAAAATGCTCAGTATAAATACAATTATTTTTTACAGACCATCGGTCCATAGCGTATGAAAGGGTCAATCATTTTGCATGCTTGATGAAATACTTGCGGTTCCCCATATATATACTGAGTCCGCATATACGTATATTGTACATATACTGAGCTAAATTCAGTGGGAATTATTCTTGCACTATCCTGTGCAACTCGGTTGCATTTTGCAAGGTATTATCGATTTCAGGCTTCATTTTCCTCCCTCTGATATCGAACCAAAAAATCTCTCTACCTTTTTATGGTGGCTAATGTAATCAAGAAAGAGTTCTTTGTCAGAAACCAGTTATTTTATCATGATCATGTAAAGTCTTTGAAAATTATTTTGCATTTTGTTAATATCTATAGTGCTTACAAATACTTTTGGAGTGCTTAAAAAGTACTTTGAAGGTGCTTATTTTTTGTTGGGAGATTTGGCTATGCACCCTGTTTTTCCACAATTTAATTAAATTAATTTGTAGATTCCTTGAGAAAATGCTCGTTGTAAATACTATAATTTTAGATTTCAATTATCTAAATTTGAATCATGTATAAATTTTTCATCTTGATCAAAATTTTTAAGTTTTTATTCTTTATTTAAAAAATAATGTTTTTGTTAGTTATCTTCAGTTAATTATTTGAGTGGTTATGTGTTTAGCTAATTTTAATTTATTTTCAATCAATCAATTGAATTCTAATGTTTTTTAAAGATTTCAATCATATAAATTTGAATCATATATAAATTCTTCATTCCGATTAAAATGTTTAAGTTTTAATTCTTTATTTGAAAAATGATGTTTTTGTTTATTATCTTCAGTTGATGACGACGCTCCAGGACTTGAAGCACCACGTACATTGAATAAACCTGGTACTGATGTTTTTTTATTACTTATCTTACATTTTTTTCTAAGTCTTAAGATTAATCTTACAACATGACCCAAGTTAATTATCAAGAAGTTTCAAACGATAAATATTAAGCTTATTAATAGCATTTTGGAACAACTTATTTTTTTTGCATTTATGCAAATACTTATCATCTTGCCTAACTCGAGTCTGGTAATTTCAAAAATCTTCAGACTTTTTTAAACAACATTTTTAGTCTATTTTTTGTCGATATTTTTAAATACGTCATGCATAACAAGGGGTCCCATTAATGTTGCGACAAACTTCTATGGGAGTTATGGCACATCATCAGGATTAAGCTTGCATAAAAACCCATGTCCAGAAATGTGATATGGTGAAAAAATTTGAATTTATAAAAATTGTGCTACATATTGACTCAGGAAGTTTTGCTACCAATTGTTTTGATTGTTAGAAGTTTGAGCCTCACTTATGTACATTGCTTTTTTTTTCTTCTTATAATTATTTTCACTATACCCAATGTAATTTTTTAAAATAAATTGATTATAAATAGTTTGTGTTAGCTCATATTTTTAGACTTGTAATAATCTTAATTTTTTCCTAGAACCTGACCATGAAGCAGATTGTGATGAAAGTAAGTTTTTATATTTTATCTATCTCTGTTAGAATAGGATTCACTAAACTTTGAGTGGACCAATGTTCATGAGTCTTGGATCAATAAGGGTTCAAAAGAGCATTATTTTTCCAATATTGGTCCTATATAAAATGGTCAGATTTACCCAATATTTTATATACATTTTTTAACCAATATATGCTCTATATCTTCCGCATAAAGGCCGATATTCAAGAAATCTAGACATGCCAATTTTAGTAGCTCGGTGCATGTTCGTATAGGACCCATATTGAGCCAAACTGGAGTCGAGATAAAATTGTTGCTAGGGTTGCTTGGTGTTCATTTTATCAACCCACAGAAAGGATAAAAAGCTGAGACAACTTTGCCCGGTCCGAGGATGGAACCCAAGAGCTGCGGCACGAGAGTGCGAAGCACTACCTCTCAGCCCGGGTATCATAAGATTCACTCTATTCTTTAAAAAATCATTTAACTCCTAATTCCCAACTACGGTTATTACTACAAGCTATGTTTGTCCTTATACAACTGTAGTCCCAGCTTACTTATATATATATATATATATATATATATATATATATATATATATATATATATATATATATATATATATATATATATATATATATATATATATATATATATATATATATATATATATATATATATATATATATATATATATATATATATATATATATATATATATATATATATATATATATATATATATATATATATATATATATATATATATATATATATATATATATATATATATATATATATATATATATATATATATATATATATATATATATATATATATATATATATATATATATATATATATATATATATATATATATATATATATATATATATATATATATATATATATATATATATATATATATATATATATATATATATATATATATATATATATATATATATATATATATATATATATATATATATATNCACCCCCTTTTTTTCATATGTCTATAATTTTTCTTTGTTTTATTCTTCATTTTGAACTTATCTAATGAGTGCTGTTTACTTGCAGCTTAAGCGCAATAAATGATACTTATTGTTTTTCTTAACTTTCTTAGTGTTTTCTTGCATTTATTATATATATATATATATGTATGTATTATATGTGTATATATAATATATATGTGTATATATAATATATATGTGTGTGTACAGTCTAATTCCACTACAAATTAAAAATTGAAGAAAATGAGTTCCCAAAATTCTGAAATTTTCTTTTAAACCTTTAACTCCTATGGCGATTGCAACAATCTATTTTTGTTTCGTATATAGCATTTTGTTCTAGTTTTTTTTTTTCCTAACTATTTGTTTTTATCCAACACACAACTAAGTGTCCAGCTTTTCGACTATTTGATGTGTATTTATTATCAATAGATTTTTTTATACAATGTTCTGAATTTAATTTAAAATATATGTGCAAGTATTGATTCCTCATTCCATTACTCGCTAAAAAAATTATTAAATTAGCCTGTTAAAATTCTTTACCAATTATTTAGTTTCAATCCTCTTAATTTATTACAATTATGTGACTGGCATTATTTTGCAAAATGGAAAATATATCTTGTCCTAAATAAGTGAGCCGGGTATCAATCCCAATGATGGCTATTAAATTCAAATTCTGCTACCAGCTCACTTCAACCACAGTGCATCTACTTCACCGCATGTGCATCTACTAAGCTGGGTTCAATGAGATTATTGCTCTGTCATGTGCAACTCTGCTTCAATTTGCAAGATATTCTCAATATCAGGCTTAATTATCCACCCTCTGATATTGAACCAAAAAATCTCTCTATCATTTTATAATGACAAATATAATCAAGAAAAGAGCTCTTAGTCAAAAACTAGGTATTTTATCATGATCATGTTAAGTCTTTGAAAATTATTTTGCATTTTGTTAATGTATATAGTACTTAAAAATATTTTTGAGTGCAATAAAAGTACTTAAAAGGTGCTATTTTCTGTTGAGTGATTTGGCTACGCACTCTGAATTAGTAAGTTTTAGTTTTTATGCTTAGAACTCTTGTTATTTCAGCATGCAAGAATAAAAGAAAAGCTAAAAGATGTGTTCAGGAAATAGATAGTATAGAAATGAATAAATGCCATCTTGGATTCCATAAAGTTTTAGTGAAAATCATTATTTTGGAAGAATCGGCATCTCACCTAGAAATGTAAGCTCCTTTTACATTATAAAATGTTTATAAAAGCAATTTCTTTTTTTATTTCAGCACCTTCTTGGTTTGTGTTTAGAAAAATATATCTCAGATTCATATGAAATATTTATTATATTGAAATAATGACTAGAACAGGGATGAGATTTTTCCGCTTTGTAGCGGATTTCCGCTTTTGTCTCTCAAATTTCAGCCTTTTTATCAAAAACTCCCATTCTCTAACAGTTTAAGTTTTCTAATAAATATTCCGCTTTTTCTGAAAATAGAGCCGTTGAAATAAAATAATTATATTTATTTAAGATTTTCAAAGATAAACAGAAAGTTCAAACCAGATAGCTGCCAACCCTTCCGCATTTTTTCTTATTTTAGCTATTTTCTCCGCTTTTATGCAAAGAAAATAAGATTTTCCGCATTTTTATCTGCCCGCCGAATAGCTCATATTTTTGTAATTCAGACGTCGCTGCGCGCGTTGCGATTCTTATTCAAGCGATTTAAATATTGTCCATTGCGATTCTTATTTACGAGGCTTAAAAATCCAATATCGCCATTTGTATTTACGCGGTTTTAAAATCCTATGTAGCGATTCGTATTCACGCAAATTTAAAATCCAATGTCGTGTTTCGTTTATGCAGTTGTGCTATCAAACATCGATTTCCGTATATATATATGATTTAAAAATTAGACATTGGGATTCGTTTTCACGCGATTTTAAAATTATTCATCGTGATTCGTATTTACGCGATCTAAAAATTGCACATGATTTAAATTTTTGCTATTTGGAAATCCAATATCGAGTTTCATGTTCATGTAATTTAAAATCATATCTTACAATACTTATTTGCACGATTTTGAAATTGTGCATGTGATTCATATTCATACAATTTTAAAATTAATCATCAGGATTTGTAATCACATGATTTTAAGGTTTAAAAATCACATTTTTTTGTCAAATTTTTGGATATCATAGTTTCTACATATTATAAATATATATATGTATATTCCTTCTTGGATTACCTCTTTTTTGCTTTCTGACTACTCTCATCCCTGCTAGAAAAATTGTTAGTACCTTGGACAGTTCTTTGATTTGAGAGAAATTAAAAGTCAAAATGATAATATATTTTCTTTTTTCTGAATTTGAAACAAAATTTTAAATCTCATCTGCCGAGGAAAAAAATTTCGCTTTTTTATGATATATCAATTATTTTTACCACACACTAAGGGCTAATAGTTAACCAACTATGAAACTTGCCTGAACTTAGATAATTTATGCAAAATATTTTTTATTAATATTTCAAGAACCAACTTGATTTTAAAAACAAAAGAAATGACTGATTTTAAACATAGCCAAAAATAATACTTCCTCAAAGTTAATTGATAATGCATATTGTATAATATTGAAGCTGAAGACTTTGTGATGATAATGTATTCAAATTTTATTTCATATAAACTACCATGTTCTAAAAATAATTTTATTTTTGTTCCATGTTGCAGAATAATAAATTTAAAATTTTGAATTTTCGAAAAAGAAAAAAAAAATTATTAATGCTGTGATAAGTCTGTATTTGCAAAAGTTACAGTATAGAGTAACAACATTATGTATTTTCTCAAACTATTTTAATACAGTGTCTTACAGTAGTTTTTCTTGTACTTGTAGACTGACACGTTATAAGTCTTAATTATTTTTTAAATTTTAACTTAAAAAATTTGAAATATTTATTGTTACTAGTAATTATAAATTTTTTTTTCATAACCGTTGGTGAGCAACCAACCCAATTTTATGGGTTTACGACTACTAATGTTCAGCTCCATAGCCTTGTAATTTTGAACCCAATCAAGAAGACAAGGGAACTCCTAGATCAAGTATTGGGAGAAATTTGCCTTCGTGGAGGACTTTTCGATAGACCTAACCCACATTTGCGTTACATGGAGAAGAAGATCACGAGAACCTCCCTTTTGGTTAGCCTGATGGCAGGGAGACTCTAACCCAGGGATGTACAAACTTTTTTAGTCGAGGGCCAAAATCGAGAAAAAAAAGTTTAGTGGACCGAGTAAAAACTTCTAAAATAAAAATAATAAAAAAACGATATGCAAGTTTTAATTCAAATATTTAATGAGATAAATGAAAATGCGATTCTCCTTATATTGAGGTTCAAAGTGAGATGTGCTTATTTTAAAGAAGGAGGTTAAATGCTCGTCTGTTAGTCTACTTCTGAAATGATTTTTTCCAAGATTCATAGTTGAAAACACCTGTTCAAATATATAAGATGAAGCAAACCAAGCACTAATTTTCTGGGCATGAGATATTAAATTTTGGAAACTAGCTTCTGGTAATGATAAGCAAAACTCAATCTCTGGCATGTTTGGAAGCAACAATAGTGTGCAATCTTTACATACTCAATAAATGATGTTAGAACTCACACCGGCAGAAAAATCCGCTCGTTGGAGCTTAAAATGTGCTATTTGCCACATGCGAAGCACAATTCACCTATGTTAGATTTGATATGTCTGATCCTCAAGAAAGACATACGCTAGTTGGAGCTAATCTGTGGCTATTCTATAAAGAACTTCTGCGTTCAAAATTTTACCAATTGAAGCTGTCTGTGCTAACTATTTCAATCAATTCCACCAATAGAGAAAGTAAAAAGGTCATCAGTACTTCGTTAAAAAAGAAGAAAAAGTAGCTTTAAACAAAGTAGACAAAATAATGGATGTATAATGTATCTTGTTTATATTTACCATGGATCGACAAGTTAGAATTCTATCTACGGGCCGGATAAAACCTTCTGGCGGGCCGTAGTTTGCCCATCCCTGCTCTAACCCATGATCCCTCTTCCACTGAGGATATTTCACATCAGCACTGTGGTCTGTGCAAGCCGGACGCGGAATTCGTATCGACTGGGAATCGAACCCGATTCGCCTCATTGGAAGGCGAACACTCTATCCCTTGAGCCATCATGGCTCTTATAAGTTATTTTCTAAAATTTAGCTATGTGCTAACAATTTTAAAAACATGAGCAACTCTAATAAAATGGAAGTTGCCAGAGATAATTTTATAATCCGCCAGAATGATTTAAAAAATGAAGGACCCAATTCACAATGGGGTATACAGATTCAAATACCTTTTCTTTGTATCCCAAAACACTTTGACACTTCATACATATTCTGTGACTAAAAAAAAATATTCATATTTTCTAAATCATTTATGCCTTTAATGCTCTTACATTTATTTCTTTTAGGCCAAATTCAGGCCAAATGCAATGTTTAAAACATCTGTTTAACCGCTGCTCTGGAAACAGTATAGTTATTATTCAATCGATTCTCTATGATTTGTTTGATGTCTGTATTGACCTTCCCATTCCTGATAGTTACACGCCTGCTTGTCAAGTTCCAAAAAGCTCTGGTAACTATGTTCACTTTATTATAGATCTTTTGTGCATATATACACCGAAGAGCCATTACATTATGACCACCCTCCATCTATAACAATGGGTTCGTCCAGGTTTTCATGGTTTCTCGCCGAGGAACAATGTTTTCAAGGAGCACATTAAGACCCATAATCCTCATAGAACAATCCCTGATGTCTGTAAGCTACTTGACCATAGTTGCAGGGTGGTCATAATGTAATGGCTCTTCGGTGTATATTTGCGTCGAATTAATTTAAAATAAATTCTCTTTATATTTGTTTTGTGATGTCTCAAATGTTACTCTTAATACTCTTAATCTTTATTATAATATAATTAAGTATTTTTATGTAATTTGTCATTAGAATATTTGAAATGCATACCTGCCAAGTCTCCTGTTTTCTTAACGCAAACTCCTGTATTTTACTACTATCTCCTGTTTACACGCATATTCTCAAATTTCTCCGTATTTGTTGAAATTTTTAAAAAATGGCAATGAAATATCTTCTGATGGCAAAAATACTTCTCTTATTCCTCAACAGATAGTGCTGTAGCCAGCACTGCAGTATGCTGAGAGTTAATAATTTAAGTAATTATAAATAATGGTTTGAAAAAAATTTTTTTAGATTAAGATTTATATACATATTTTTTACTTTGCTAAATGTAAGTCCTTATATTATTTCCAATTTTGAATTTCTCTTTTTGACTTGCATGATTATGTATGATGTATCAAAACTTTACTCATAGTCTAAAAAGTGTCGCTAGTACAATCTCCGTAATTTTATTTCTCCTATGTTGGCAGATATAGAAATGACTGGAAGTCATCTTATCATATACATGTTGTTTTGACATGATTTAAATTCAGTAGGTAACATATTTATAGACCTTTTTGAACATATTTATAGACCTTAGTAATCTAGAACTGATCAGTTTCCCATGCCCTTAACGACCAAAACATCACATTTATTTCGATAATTAAATCCGCAGCATTACTTTCTTTGTGGGAGGCTATTTATTAATTATTGCAATTTAATTTTTAAAACTTTTAAGGCACTTTTAGAATTTATAAATGTTAAAAAAAACTATTCAGGTCTGATAGAGTTAATAAAAAAAAATTCCCATTGTGTCGAGTAAAACCTGAATTAAACTAATGAAATAGAGTATATACTTTATAAATAGTAAAGTAACAAAATTCATAGATGACTTCAGCATTACCATCACATTTGATTTAAATACAGCAAAATTAAAAACAAGTTTGAAAAAATGACTGAGCAGTTATTAGATTTTTAAAAAAAAACTCTTTTTTATTTGAAACATTTGTTGAATAGGTTTAAGTATGTATTTTAAAAAAGAGTGTCAAGATTGTATATTTCATCTGTAATAAATCTATAATAAATCTTTTATAAAAATGCCATTGTTTGTGAATAGCTGCTATTTAAAGAGCTGTATACAAACTATAGTATTTTTTTAATGATTTGTAAAAGAATTTAATTTTTTTCCTTCAGACATTGAAGATGTTAGAACCATTCCTGAAAGTAAGTTTTATGTTATCTCTGTTTTTATTAGAAATCCCAAAATATGAAGAAAAAAACTTTTTAAACTTTTAATTCCAAAAAAGAGTGAATCCGAAAAAAGAAAAAAGAAGAAAATATTTTTTCATTACATTATCGACAGTCCCATATAATATATTACATAGATTTATATACATAGAGTTTGATAAATCCTTCATTTTTATATACAGGGATGAGATTCTTCCGCGGATTCGCGGATTTCCGCTTTTTCTTAGATTTTTCCATTTTTCCTGCTAATTTCCGCTGAAATTCTTTTTTTTGCTCAAGTTAAAATATTTTATGAGGAATTTAATTTTCCGCGGAGCGAAATTATTGAAGTCCTCATTCCTCCCTCTGAAGTTTCTCTAAAAATCATTTCCTTGGGATAAAACTGGTTGACCTTTATACAGGGATGAGATTTTTTTCACTTTTGTCTCTCGAATTTCAGCCTTTTTATCAAAAACTCAGATTCTCTAAAAGTTTCGTTTTTTTTTATTTATTTATTTATAAACATCCCGTTTTTTTAAAAAAAAATTCAGTCGTTGAAGTCAAATTATTATATTTATTTACGATTTTCAAAGAAAAACAGAAAATTCAAACTATGTCCTAGCTGCTAATCCTTCCGCATGTTTACTCATATTAGCTATTTTCTCCAATTTCACGCACAGAAAATAAGATTTTCCGTATTTTTTATCCGTCGGCGGGATAGCTCGTATTTTCGTAATTTAGACGTCGCTGCTTCTTGTATTCTGGAGAGATAGCAAACAAAAAAAGCGAAAAAAAAATAGAGGTGGATTTGTGGTGAAAATATTTATTTGCTCATTCAATTAATCTTGTAAATTTTTATTTATTGTGTAAACAAAAAACAATTCAAACAAACCTTTTAGAAATCCCAAGTCCAGACCCTGCAAATATCGCGATTTTTATTCACGCGATTTTAATATCAATCATCGATTTTCGTATTTACCTGATTTAAAAGTTGCGCATTGCAATTCTTATTTACGCATTTTAAATATCGTACATTATGACTCGTATTTACGAGATTTTAAAATCTAATATCGTGTTTTGTATTTTTGCATTTTTAAAATCGCGATTTTATTATCAAACATCGATTTTCGTATTTACCTGATTTANATTTGAAATGCAGGGGTATGCAAATTTTTACATATTTTAAAGTAAATTTGAAATGGTGAAATACAAAATTTAAATGCAATCGGTTGAGAAATTATCGCGAAATAAAATTCAACTAAACATTTTTAAAAATTGGATTTCTCAAAAGCTGTTTCGCGGATTTCACGATTTTTTTTCCATTTTAAATTACTTTAAAATAACATGATTTGTGCACTTCACAACTTAAAATTTAATTATTTTAAAATAAATTACTAATAAAAATAACATATATGTATATATATATATATATTCTTGGATTTCCTCTTTTTTACTCTCTGATTACTCTCATCCCTGTATATAATCTGAAGAATTTTTCCATGCCTTGAGCAAAAAATTTCATCTGTAAGCACATTTAAAAGAATTACAACTTTGATTTGTAAAAACTAATGCAGAAACAATTTTCATAATGTTATTTCCTACATAACACCAGAAATTTGCATCTTCGTGTTAATTTGTCTCATTCTTAATTAATTTTTTTGTACTTTGCATCGAAAAGATTATTTTTCCAACTTGTCAAATTAAATTAGAAATTTTTTTTGCTATATTCTGCTTACTCCTTTACTTGCCTAAAAATATCTTAAATAGATCTTTAAACCATCATTATCCAATTATTTAGCTTCAATCCTAATAATTTCTTACTGTTATGACATTATTGATGATAAGGACAAACTATATTAATATTATTGAAATCTTCAGACACTTATTTTATATTAAACAAATAAAAAAACTATCCTTAGAAAAATGAATTGCTGAATTTTTTTTTTTTTTTTTTTTTNTTTTTTTTTTTTTTTTTTTTTTTTTTTTTTTTTTTTTTTTTTTTTTTTTGCATTAAAGCACAAAATTCATATTGTTATTTACTTACAGATGACAAAAATAAAAAGAGAACTAAAAGATGTGTTATGAAGATTGATAAAAAAGAAATGAATAAATGCTATCCTGGATTCCATAAGGCTTTGATAGATATTATTGTAAATGAAAAAACTGAGAGTCATCTGGAAATGTAAACCTTTTTAAATATAAATTTTTGCTTAATGCTTTTAGTTTATTCTTATTCATGTTTAGAATAATCAGGCTGAGAACAGAACTGGGAAATCAGAGAGATCTAAGGAAAGCAATTGAATTTAACTGATAAGGCAATTTCAGTGAATTTTAGCTAAAATGCCTAATGAGTCAAGAAAAATGAATAATTTTATTGTCTGATGTTTTTATTTGTCTAATGTAATGGCACATACAAGTATTTTGCAATTTATTTAATGTTAAACAATAAGGTTTAATTCAAAAATAAATTTTTACAAAAATATATGCAACTAGTGACAAAAAGCTGGAAAATATGACAAAATCAGTCTGTAAAAATCAAGGAAATAAAAGGGATTTTTTTTTAATTCAAGTATTTAGGTCGACCTTAATAATAGATCCAAGATTTATACAAACTGTTTATTTTTAGTCTTGATGAAACTCAGATATGGATGATGTTTTCTACACTAGGGAACGCTGCAAGCTCGGGACTGCCTAAATTTCCGGGTTACTGTTTCAGTTGTATTTTAAAGCCATTTGGCATCATTGTGTTTTGAGATTCTTGCAAACAATGTATTTGATTACTTATTACTTATGTTTACAATGCTAACAATACTTGTGTTTACAATACTAAAAGTGTTAACACTAACGTAAGATGGTGCACAGCTTGCAACACGAACAAACAGTAATAAACAAATGGAAAGAGGCCAAATCAAGACTGCCAAAAAAGCGAGTTATTCAAAATCTAGCAACCATGTCACCTTTTTTAATAATAAATAACAAAATAACTAAAACAAATTTTCACTGAAAACTCCCCAGATTTACATAATAACATTAATATCTTATGAAAGACGGCAGATTTGAGCTCAGAAATTGTCTAATTTATTTCTTTTATTGAAAACATCGCCTATCAGAATAACATGTAGTAAGCAGCTGCAAGCTTTTTAACCGTAACTAGAGTAGGTCCCGAGCTCGAGATTGTTATTGTTTACATTTTTATTGAAAACACCATCCATTGATAATTGTTTTAAAAATTTCTTTAAATTTTTTGTAACTTTAAGCAATGTTATGAATTGAAAAAAGAATTAAAAGTCAAAATGGTGAGTTTATCCTTTGAGTGTTTGTTGCGTGGTTTTCAAAACTTCTGGCTTTCCTTCTATAAACACTGGTTTCCTTTTGTTATTGTTTAAGTATTACCTGCCATGGTAATTCCAGTACAATTTTGCCAAAGAAATTTTTATATGATTTTCCACCAATGCTTAGTGACTTTATGTATTTTTCATTTCAATAAATTTTTTTAGTAACTACAAGTCTCTATATAAACAATTATTATGGAAAACAAATATAAAAGCAGCAAAAATCATTCCCTTAATTGCTCTCTAGCACACCAATAGAGATCTGTGTAAGGCTCAACAAAAAAATAATGCACACTTACATAGGTGTTAATTATAAAAGGAACAATGCAAATTACTCAAGTGAAAGTGCCTGGGAATAATGTAAAATCACATGCTTAAACTATGCAACAATGTGATGTTATGGACTGATAAGCATTGCTAGAAAATCATCAACCTTCAACTATAGTGAAGTTTAATTTATTAAAACTGATTTTCCATTAATGTAACAGGTTAATGCCGCTCTAAGGAAGATGCTAAAATAGTTTCACAAGTTAATCATTTTCTGCCTGCCAATTAGTTTAGTGATGGCATCATCTCATATGATGAAATTCGATTGCTCTAAAATGTAGCCACCTTTTCTTTATATTCCGAAACATTCATAACATATTCTGTGTGTTCAAAAAAACTTTATATTGCATTTATGTCTTTAAAATTCATACATTTATTTCTTTTAGGCCAAGTTCAGGCCAAATGCAGTGTATACAAAATCTGTTTGACCACTGCACTGGAAACAGTATAGTTGTTATTCAATCAATTCTCTATGATATTTTTGATGTCTGTTTTGACCTTCCCATTTCTGATAGTTTTGCACCTGCTTGTGATGTTCCCCAAAGCTCTGGTAACTACATTCATTTTATATTATGGATATTTTTGTGAGTATTTTTTTTTTTTACGATAGGAATTTTTTTTAAATAATTTCTTTTTATATTTATGTTTTGTGATACTTAATTTTTTATGGTTCAGTATTTTAATATAATTTACAATAATTATATATTAAAAACTGTTTAAAAAGTAATTTTCAGTAGAATGCAAACCATATTTATTTCTCTAAATGTGCATTTGGTATAAGGTTTATTAAAACTACATGCATGTGAAATATAAACATTTTGATTATTTTGTATTCAATTGAATGCATTTTTAGTTGCACATAGTATTTTTAAAAAATAGATTTTTTTTCACAAAATAATGGTGTTTTAAAAAAAATTCTGAAAATAAGTTCTATTTTCGTGGATTACTGAAAACCAGTCTACACAATTAAGAAATCCCTGCGTACTACAAAAAACTATATTAATTGTGAACAATGAGCCAAAATGTGAAGTATGTTTGGTGAAAATTGTACGAGCTAGATAATATAGATATTATATTTTAATTTTCTTGCAATAGTCTTACGCAATTAGAATTTTATAGCAATTGTATGCAAAAGTTAATTTTATTTGTGAGTGGTTCTCCTTTTCTTTTATTCAAAACTGTATTCTAAAATTTGTTCTCGCTTCTGCATGTTGTTTTGATATTCTTTTCTGCTTAAAACTATTTTTATTTTACCAATATTAATTTTTTTTAAACAAAATTGTAAGATTTTATCTTTTATTTGTAATAAAGTTGTGATATATATTTCATTTAGATGTCGTAGTTTGCGTATTTAAAGAACTGTACATAAACTATGGTGTTAGATTAATGTTTTGTAAAAGTATTTAAAAATTTTTTCCAGAAGTTGAAGATGATATAAGCGATCCTGAAAGTAAGTTTTGTGTTATCTCTGTTTGTCTAAAAATTCCCAAAATGCTAAAAATAAACTCTTTTAAACTTTCAATTCACAAGAATGATAATTACAAAATAAAAATATTTATTTCATAATTAAACCCTTAGTCCTAGTGTTTGTTTTCTTTTGAAATTAGTTTATATATAGATTTATATTAATAATAAAGTTTGATAAATCTCTCTCTTTTTTTAATAATTTGAAGACTTTTCATGCCTAGAGCAAAAAATTTCATATATAAGTTCATTTAAAAACATTAAGACTTTGATTTGTAAAAGTTAATGCATAAGCATTTTTCTTAATGCTTTTCTTCTACATAACACAAGAAATTTGCAATCATGGGATTTGTCTTAGTCTTAATAATTGTAACAATGTTTGCCTTAGTCTTAATATTTTATTTGTAATAAAGTTAGAATAAATATTTCATTAAGATGCCATAGTTTGCGTATATCTACTTTTTAAAGAACTGTACATAAACATGGTATTAATTTAATGCTTTGTAAAAGTATTTAATTTTTTTTCCAGATGATGAAGATGATATAAGGGATCCTGAAAGTAAGTTTAAGTTTTGTGTTATCTCTGTTTGTCTAAAAATTCCCGAAATGCTAAAAATAAACTCTTTTAAACTTTCAATTCTCAAGAATGATGATTGCAAAATTAAAATATTTTTTTCATAATCAAACCCATAGTCGTAGTATATTTTTTCTTTAGAAATTAGTTTATATATAGATTTGTATTAATAATAAGGTTTGATAATTCTTTCTGTCTTTTTTTTTTAATAATTTGAAGATTTTTCATGCCTAGAACAAATAATTTTATTTATAATTTCATTTAAAAACATTAAAACTTTGATTTGTAAAACTGAAGGCATAAACATTTTTCGTAGTGCTTTTCTTCTACATAACACAAGAAATTTGCATCATGGGATTCGTCTTAGTCTTAATAATTGTAATAATGTTTGCCTTATTCTTAATATTTTATTTGTAATAAAGTTATAATAATTATTTCATTTAGATGCCACAGTTTGCGTATATCTACTATTTAAAGAGCTGTACATAAACTATAGTATTAGATGAATGTTTTGTAAAAGTATTTAAATTTTTTTCCAGAGGTTGAAGATGATATAAGCGATCCTGAAAGTAAGTTTTGTGTTATCTCTGTATAAAAATTCCCAAAGTACTAAAATAAAATACTTTTTTAAACTTTCAATTCTCAAGAATGATGATTGCAAAATAAAAATATTTTTTTCATAATTAAACCCATTGTCCTAGTATATGTTTTCTTTAGAAATTAGTTTATATATAGATTTGTATTCATAATAAAGTTTGATAAATCTTTCTCTTTTTTAAATAATTTGAAGATTTTTCATGCCTCGAACAAAAAAATATATATGTAAGTTCATTTTGATTTTTTTTATTATATTGAATGTATTTTTTGTCGCACATAGTATTTTTATAAAAAATATTTTTTTTTATTCACAAATTGATGGTGTTTTAAAAATGTCCTAAAATAAATTACATTTCGTGGATTGCTCAAAAACTACTTTTAATCTGTCATGTGAACAATGTGTCAAAATGTGAGGTAAATTTGTTGAAAATTATACTGGTTAGATTAACAGCAAGTAAGATAATATATATATAATAAAATTTCTCAACTAACTACAATGCATCAATACCAAATCTATAAAATGCTTTTAGCAGTCTCAAGTGCTAATCTAGCCCTTTTTCTAGTTGATCTACCCTCATATGTTTTTAGAGTAGCAGCTGAAATTCTCCAGTCACTTTCATTTTGAGCTAATAATAAATTGCAAAAAATTTATTTCTAGATTGAAGCTCGAAATTAATATTGTTATTTATTTCAGGTAACAAAAATAAAAAAAGAACTATCAGATGTGTTACAAAGATTGATAGAAAAAAAATGAATAAATGCTATCCTGGATTCCATAAGGCTTTATTGGATATTATAGTAAATAAAAAAACTGAGAGTCATCTAGAAATGTAAGCCTTTTTAAATGCAAATTTTTGCTTAATGTTTTTCATTTATTCTTATACAGGGTGCGTAGCTTTTTTTAAAGGTGCTTATTTTCGATTTTCGTTTTTTAAAAGCCCTTAAAGGTGCTTTTTTCATTGGGTGTTTTTAAAAAGTGCTTAATTTTCCTTTTTCTCGTTACCATGTTGATTTTTGCTATGAATTATGCAGAAAGACCCTGTTTACATTGTTCTATTCAACGTTTTCACAATTAATTCAACCCCAATCTACTTCAGAGCATCGTTTGTCCGTAACGTATGAAAACTCTATTCGATTTACATGTTTCAAAAATTTTGATAATTTTCGAAAACAATGCCAAAAGATTTTTTTTGGAAATTATATCTTTAATGGATATTATAGTAAATATAAAAATTGAATTAATTTATGTTTAAAAAACCTTAAAGTCTTTCTTTTTAAAATTTATTATACATCTTTTCTTTAAAAAAAGATAAAGTAATTTATTTTCTTCTTCTCAAATAGCACCCTCATGTATTTTGTATTATATTTAAAAAAAATAAAGCTTAATTGATAAATTAATAATAAAATTTATGCAACCAGTTATGAAAAAACCAGAGTTGGCCAAAAATGTAATCGATTACATTTTTTGATTACAGTAATCAATTACTTGTAATCATGATTNGTAATATTTTATAAACATTGTCTGAGTGTTTTGGTCTGTCTGCAAAGTTCTCAGATTTACAGAAGCTGTTTATTTTCATTATTTATAAAACTCAAATATTGATGATTGTTGTAAAAATTACTATTAAGTTTTCATTACTCAATGCTATGAATTGGAGGAAAAAATTAAATGTAACTTGTTAATGTTAAGAAACAAAATTGTGAGTTAACCATTTATCTTGGGGTTTTTCTTAACTTTGAGCTGCTGGCTTTTCTGCTTTAAACATTGGTTTCTTTTTGTTATTCAAGGGTAAAGTACAATGTAGCAGGGAATTTTTAGCACAATTTTGCCGAGGAAATTTCAGTAAAATTTTCCACACTTATGTTTGGTGGGTTAATATACTTTTCTTTTCAATAAACTCTTCCTAACGAGTTCAACTCTATAGAAGAACAAACAAATAACAAGGAAAAACAAACATGAAATCAACAAAAATCATTACCCTAATGACTCTCTAACTTGCCAGTAGAGAACTGTTACATGTTCACCATGAAATTGAGGGCATAGACTTAAGTGCTAATTATAAAGCGAGCAATGAAAGTTCAAAAATTTCCACAAAGTGCTGGACATGCTGTTGCCTGGCAATCATCTCAAATCACAAAAGGAAACTGGGCAACAGTGTAATGTCATGCACTGATTGCATAGCTGCCAACTCTACTGGATTTACCAGCAGACTACTAGATTTTGTCAGTTTCTCCTGGTCTGGCTTAATAAAAATTCTCCTAGTTTTTGTATATTTTAGAAAATTCCTTGAAATTGAGTAATTTCAAAAAAAAATCCTATTGATGTCAAATTTATTGCTAACTTAAATATTTAATTGAGTATTGCTTATACATAATGAAGCAAGCCTCATTTTTGTAATCAGTTGAAATTCTTTTCTTTTTTTTTTTTGTTCTAAAAATTTGTTTATTTTTATTTAGAATGCCTTTTTCAAAATATTTTTTTAAAAATTTAACTATCAATAATAAATTATTTATTACTATTAAAAATTATGAATTAACATAATGAAAAACATTTAAAATTCATTTAATGTCATTAAAAGACAAAAACATTGCAGACTCTTTACTGTTATTTGAGTGATTAAGTATATGTATTTTGATGGCAAAAAAATCTCTAAAATTCCATGCATGTAATATATACAGTTATTGTTAAATTTATGTTTCATAAAGTCTACTGGAATTTTTACTCTCCATGCTGGCAGCTATGGCAGTGCTAGAAAATTCTCAACTTCCAGCATTTGAGAAGTTGAGTTTATTGAGGCAGATTTTCCATTAATGTAACAAGTTGTGTAAAATATGTTTAATGTGAAATATAGAAGCTCAACTTAACCAATGTCTGCTTGGAAGTTAATATAATGATGGCATCATCTGATGCACTGAAATTTTGTTAATCTACAATTGCATCTACTTATTTTTTGTATACCAACATATTTTGATTCTTATAACTTATTCTGTGACCAAAAGAATTAAACATTATTATTTTATATTGCATTGTCTTAAACATTTTTATTTTATATTGCATTTATGTCTTTAATATTTAAACATATATTTCTTTCAGGCCAAGTTCAGGCCAAATGCAATGTTTAAAGTATTTGTTTGATCACTGCACTGGAAGCAGTATAGTTATGATTCAATCTATTCTCCATGACATTTTTGATGTCTGTTTTGACCTTCCCATTCCTGATAGTTACGCACCTGCTTGTGAAGTTCTCCAAAGCTCTGGTAACTACAATTATTTTATTACCGATATTTTTTGTGAATATTTTTGTTAAAAACATTTTATAAAAATAAATTTTCTTTTTATATTTTGTAATATGAAATATTTTAATGTAATTTACCAAAAGGATGTATTAAAAACTGTTTTAAAAGTAATTTTCACTAGAACGCTAACAAAATTAATTTCTCTGAATGCTCTTTTAAAAATAAAAATAAGAATTTAGATCCAAAAATGTGTATTACTTATTACGATTTTGACAACTACATACATGTGAAATACAAACTGCATATTATGTATTTTGCAACTAAGATTTTACAAATATCATGTAAAATCATTAAAGTCAGTGTTTAAAAAAGCTCGTTAATTACTTATTTATTTTTAAAAAAAAATTTTTTTGCATTATTGCAGAATATTTGAAATGGCTCTCTAAATGTTCTTTTAAAAATAAAAATAAAAATTTAGATCCAAAAATGTGTATTACTTATTACGATTTTGACAACTACATACATGTGAAATACAAACTGCATATTATGTATTTTGCAACTAAGATTTTACAAATATCATGCAAAATCATCAAAGCCAGTGTTTAAAAAAGCTCGTTAATTACTTATTTATTTAAAAAAACAAAATTTTATAATTTTTTTTTTTTTTTTTTTTTGCATTATTGTAGAATATTTGAAATGGCTCGAAATCATCTTATCTTTTTGTTGCTCTTTTAGCATATTCTGAGTTTAGAAGATAGTCACTTTTTGAACACATTTATAGATCTTATTAACAGGGACTGATCATTTTCTCATGACACTAAAAACATCACATTTACTTCGATAAATAAATCAATATTATTACTTTCTTTGTGGGTATCTTTTTGCTGATTTTGTGTAAGACTTTAGCATGATTTATGAATTAGATTTAAAATATAATTCTTTTAACAAGTATATATA